TAGAAACCGTCTTTTTTGAAATTTGGTACTCTTACAAGCATTTTAATGCCAAAGCGCATGGCGATAGTATAAAATTCTGTAACAGCCCTGAAAGGGTACTTTCCATTAGGGTAGAAGGTACTACTGCTGGTACTTTTTTATCCTTATAGATACAGTAATTTCAACAAATGACATAAAAATCTAGGACTTTTTTACGTAAGAAGGGTGCTCTTCGTTTAGTTCGAAACTGTGAATGGTTTTCAGGATATTTGCGTTTAAAGATTACGAGTTTAAAGATTATGCATCGATTTTAGTATTAGTAGTGAAATGATAATTTGTAAATAAATAACATTATATAAGGATTCTTGCCACTTAACTCCTGATATAGAAATTTAATTCTACGCTGTGTTTGTCATAATGTGGATCAACCTGCTCTCACTACCGGTTTTGCATCACTCCAATGCTCCGATGCTCTGATGGAGTTCGGAGCCCTACTCCATCATCAGGTGAGCTTGGGCAGATCCACAAAATGACAACCACAACGCAGAGATAGTTAATTCCGACTTGTCGGAAAGTGTCGATTAGATATTAAGAGTCCCGAACGGGAGATAGCGGCCCGCGTGTGAATTAAATTTCTATATCAGCAGTTAAGTGGCAAGAATCCTTATATAATGTTATATATACCTATACTGCAAGAAATTTGTTTTCTATTTTGTAAATAAATTAAGCTCCTGAAAATTGAATAAACATTGGAGCCTTCAAACGCAAATATCTTGAAAACCGTTCACCGTTTCGAATTAAACAAAGTGCACATTTTTTACATAAAAAACATTCTAACTTTAATTTTCATTTGTTGAAATTACTGTATCTATAAGGATAAAATAAGTACCACTAGTACTACCCTCTATCATAATAGAAAGTACCCTTTCAGGGTTGTAACGGATTTTTACACCATCGCCATTCGCTTTGGCATTAAAATGTGTCAAGTGTACCAAATTTCAAGAAAAATGGTTTATCAATGTTCTTAAAAATAAACAAAATACACTATTTTCATTTACCCTTTCAAAGGCTGTAACTTGCTCGGTTGCCCACCGAAGTTATATATAGAAATGGGAATTTTATCCCAAATATACTGGGCAAAAAATATAGAGTACCCTATTAAAGAAAAAGAGTTTAATAGTATATTTTCATAGGGTGCTTCAAACCCTATGAAAATATTTTTGAAAAAGTATACTACTGTCGTCGCCCTCTTATTATAGAAAAAGATTGGAGTGAAATACTGGATACCCTGTATTTGATTTCTAGCTATTAGGTATAATATTATAATAATTATAATTATTTTTTTCTGTTTTTTCCTATAATTATAATTATTATTAATAGCACTAAAACATAATTCTAAATAGGGGTTTTAAATAAAACGTAAACAGTTTTTAAACTAAATTAGTAAAACAAAAATTGTAATTTGATTATATTAATGTAAAAATGCAATCATACTATTCAATTACAATAACATATTTAAAAGAATTAATATGATAAAAACAGACCATTAATAAAAATTAATTTTATTATAGTTATATTATGGTATAAACTTTTAAATTTACAGTAATTCGATGACTTTATTGCAAAATGTACGTCCACAAATTGTTGACTTTTTTAAAATTAACACAAGGTAAGCCAGGTTGTAAAAAGAATCTTGTAATTTAGAGCAGCCTTAACTCTGATAAAAATAATCAATATTCTTTTGAATCAGTTTTGTCGCTCTTTTATGAAAGAATATTATTTTTCGTTATAAGTATAAAGAATGAGAAAAGTTATTAGCGAATATATCATAAAATACCATCTAGAAAAAGCGGCGTCACGGTGACCTGTGGAATGGCAGTAGTTAATAAAATATGGTATTCGACCTCTATCGGTCATTTATTAAAAATTGATTAAAAAATTTGCCAATATTTAAATAGAAATATGTAAAGAAGGATCCAGGTACGTTATGCACTCTCGCATAAATCTATTCAGTAAAAGATATTTATTCGAAATACATTTGTGTTAAAAGTTTTTACCTTTTTTTCGCAATTAACTATCAATTATTAACAACTCTTTACTTTTTCTCTATATTTTGGACTAATAACGAATCTCTTCGAAAAAAAGTCTAACTTTTATAATTTAACTTGATGCACAGGTACTTGTATTCTTTTATTATGATATTATACAGAAACAAAGTCAACAGTAAATTTATTACTCTCATTGAGTTTACTATTCAAGTTTATAACTACCTATCTATACCTAACTACTAAGGTTAATGTTCGGCACCTTGATTTATTAAATTATGATGCCTAATTTATATTTTTGTATTTTCTTGGAAATTCAACAATACTTTTTTTACAATTAGATCAAATAAATAACTGTGATATATTATATACAAGGTGGCGCCTCTCATACGCAGGAGAGGGTCCAAGGTCCAAGGAGAACGACAGTTTATATTGATATTAAATTTTGTGGGCATATACCTACTGTGGGCTAATTTAGACCATTTTTTAAAAATACAGAGTTCTACAGTTTGTCTCGAAAAAAAATACACATTAATGTTTATTATTAATTATAATATAATATATAATTTAATTTTTAATGAAACACCCTATACAGGGTGGCGCACCTCATTCGCCTCAGTTGATTATACGAAAACGGAAAGAGGTAGAAACAAAATATTTTACGGGTGTATGTGGGAAGGCAATGTGCATAATTTAAAATTATTTTGAAATGTACAGAGTATGTCAGAACTAAGATCTAACACCAAAGTTATATATTTTTTATTATGGAACACCATTTTATTTCATTTTTGGATTCTTGGCCCAAAAAAAGGAATTTATTATAAGGGTTGAATATGTTTACAAGCTTTGGTTTTTGAGGTATTTCAATATGCATGCTATAATAAAAAAATTGTCAACGCCCTGTACATTGCCTTTCAGAATTAATTCTTGTGCTGACTATTAAGCCAGAGAAATAAACTTTACTGAAAAATTTGATTGCTTCGTTTAATATATACAGAGGCATCAAAAATTGCTGGTCTGTTTTAAATATTTATTTTACATAAAAACTTTGTTATTTCCTCGGTTATTTCAAATACAACACTCTGTATGTTTTAAAATATATCGAAGCAGATTCAACATATAAGGGTTTTCTATACCTATCTAGCTCAGATTTTGAATAAAGGGCATTTTTGTCAATAAAATGGCAACCAACAGGGGAACAGGGCTGATGTCGTCATGGCAAGTTGTACTAACAGTTAGTAGTAATTTTTAAAATCGAAATTAGTTTATGGATTTTATTTTAAATTTATAGGCAGTTCATATTTCACATTTCATTTCATTTATACTTTTCTAGATCATTTTTGTTTTTCATAAATACAGAGCATTTGAAATAACAAAGTTTTTAGATTAGGTTTTTGGTCAGCAATTTTTGGTACCACTGTATAAATTTAAGGCAGCAATAACATTTTTCAGTAAAGTTTATTTCTCTGCTTTTAAACTCAGCACAAGAATTAATTCTGAAAAGTAATGTACAGGGTAGTGATAATATATTCTATTGTAACATGCATATTTAAATATCTTTAAATATATCAAAAACCAAAAATTTTAAACATATTTAACCCTTATAATAAATACCTTTTTTAAAAATTAAAAAAAAACATAACTTTGGTATGGTTAGGATTACTTACATAACTTTGGCTTAGTTCTGAAACACCCTGTATATTTCAAAATAATTTTAAATTGTGCACATTGCCTCTCTACATATACCCATAAAATATTTTGTATCTACATCTTTCGGTTTTCGTATGCGTAACCGAGGCGAATGAGGTGCGCCACCCTGTATATTAATTGAGTATCGGATTTCAGGAGAAAACAGTGATAAGTTTCATTAGAGACATATATGACTAAAACGTATAGTTTGTGACATATTTAATATCTTCTAAAAATCAAGAATAAATTTTTAATGTCAATTAAAGCTACCTAAATTGGAATTTACCTGGTATAGCCTATTATGTAATTAAAATATCCATTTGTATTTTAAACCAAATTAAACTTGGCCCAAAAGTTATACAGGGTGAGCCAAATTTAGTAGAACTCTATATATTTTTAAAAAAATGCTCTAAATAAACCCAAATAAGCTCACAAAGTTTCATTTCAATTCTTTCGTTTTCTTTAGAGCTTTCACGTCAGTCTTGTAATTATAAGTGTTTAAAGTTGTTAACAAATCGAGTCCTTGTTTTTTGGAAAATTTTAAATGATTTTAAATTTAACTTTAACGCGAAGGAGAATATTTAAACCTATTAGGTATATTTATCATTTTAAATTTAAAGATAATGAGCTTGTATTCTTTTTTATGGTACAATTATGCAAAGACAAAGTCTACAAGTAAATTTATTATAACAGTTACAGAGTGACTTTTACTCTTTAAGTTTATAACTACAACAAGTTTGTAACTACAAAGTTCAATGTCGATTACTTTGTATTTGTAAATTGGGACATAAAACTTGTTTCATTTTTTTTATTATGGTCGATAATAAACACTAATTTCTATATAAATTATCAACAATATAATAAGGTACTAGTAACCACACAACATTTTTTTTAATACCAACCTATTCATCTGACACATCGCTGTAAAGCTCCTTACACTCTCGTAGCAAAATTTCTAATAATAATAATTAATTTTTGAGATATCGGTGTTTTAAGTGAGCAACATTGTAAAAAATAATGATTTGGACTTTCTTTTCGGCAACAAAAAGCTGCTATAAAGCTCCAATAACCCGAATTATAGTTGTGATTACATCGTATTTTTCAATATTTTGTCCGATTGCTAGTTTTCTAATTATCACATCCTGTATTTCTTTGACCTGTGTAAAAATTATGTAAGAGCTCTTAGCAAGTACCACTTTCTTTTGACGCAGACCATAACATTAAATATGCGTAACTTTATTACAGAAAAGTATTAAAATACAAAAATATTCACAAAATTATGCTTACCATTTTCACATTGGCTAACTTGGGTAGCTGAAACAGTGGCAGCCAGTACCGCACAGACCAAAGCAAAGTACCGCATTTTTTTAATGAATAACTAAAGAGAAAAGTCGATATGTGTATCAGGCGCACTAAATTAAAACCGTACCTTTGCAGTACCGTAATAAGCAGTTCCTAGTTTAGCCGCTGGTCTACAACTAAACGCAAACCGCTTGTCCAGGTACCACAGGTGCGCTCTCACCCAAAGAATGTTGGTGCTACTGGGTGCTCTTCATTGGGTTACCTTTATATCGTAGCCAGTCGAATTTTCAATTAATTATGCAGGCCACGTCTGGACACGAGTTTGTGAATACGGGATGGATGATTTTCATATTCGGTATTTGTTATTTCCTACTAGTTCACCCGGAAAAATTTTCCTAAAAAATCTCATTCTAAACTCAGAACAAAGAAAACTTAAAAAAAATTATTTTGATTTATGTACAGGATGTCCAAGTGTCCAATTTTCATATGTTTTATGGGCTTTCTCGTTTATGAATAGAGACACAAAGATGCGATTTTCACATCACTGCGCTACTTTTTTATGAAACCACATACAGATTTTCCCCTTAGTTTCTCAAATACAGGGTACACTGTTCGGTTTTTATATGATTCAAAATAAAAAATATATAAATTGTAAAATTAGTAATTTTTTAATGGCCATAATGCGTTCTTTCAAAATCATCGAATAACTAAATCATTTCCATAGATCCAGTGACGTACCGTTACTTTGAATTTTGAGACCAAAAACTGAAACAATAATTTGTCAAAAAAATCATATTACAGCTATATGTTTTATTTTGCTTAAAAATGTTAATGTGCAGTAATTGCAGTGATCTGAAATGGCCACCGAAATGCTGCTATCTCCGTAATTTCCGTTACGATCACGCTAAAGCAAACACACGGATACTTACTCGTATGTTTCTTTAGTACAGTACGGCGATCCAGGGTCGCACTAGGCCAAAGGGGCCCGGGTGGCAAAGTACGGAGAGGCCCGTGTGGATTTTTTTGGAAAAACGAATTTTTTTTATATACGAGCAATTCATCGGCGCGGCGTGCTATAAATAGTTTAAATAATATTACTTGTACAAGAATTTCCATAATACCTAATCAGTTTTATTTTTTTCAACGTTTTTTCCACGTAAATGATACACAATCTTTATAAAAATTAAAAAAATAAAGAGAAAAGTAATCAAAATTTAACAAAATGACCGCACTGTTTTCCAAGCTCGGTCTACTACCGTTGTAAAAAAATTAGGATAAGCATGGAAGGATTCTACCATATCTTCTAAGAATTATAAGTTTAATTTTTAAATTATTTTCATATTCATTAAGTCAAAAATGCTGCCACTTCAGTTCTTTAAAAATGCATTAAAAATTTATTCGTCTTTGGACTTGTATGTATTGCTTCTAGACCGACGATATTATAAATATATGGTTATTAACATCATATTTTTTAAATATAATTGATTATTTCTAAATCTGTTTGGGTAATATTCAATTCCATAATAAAGATTGCTATCTCCAGAAATATATTTTTATTTCTTATTTCTGCAAGACGAATATCTGCTATCTCCCTATTGTGTCTGAAAAAAATGAAGTAATACGAAATAGAGTTTTATTGTTCCCCAGCAAATAAAATTTTTATCTCTTTATCATATTAACGCATGAAAATACCCCCTACATGTGTGTAAAATTAGAAATAATGGAGTTAGCAGTTTATCACATTTCACCGACGTTTTGATCTTTCGAAAAATATAGTATATTCTATACTTATTTTCACTAGTAAGGTAAATTAAATATCTGTTTAAATTAGGTAATTCATTCCACGCTAGTTTCTGTGTGTAGAGCAAAATTATCTGGTTAAATTAAATAAAATAATATCAATTTTTACGCCTCTGTATACTATATACCGGGTGCTTTTCAAAAGTGGCTCGCCCCTATAACTTTTTTAATTTTTCACATAAACTAACGATATTTGGTATATTAGTATATGACATAAATTAGAATTGATTTTGATTGATGTATTCAGTTGTTTTCTGTCACTTCCTGTTTTACCGGAAATTACTACAACTTTCGATTTTTAAAATGGCAGACTCGGTATTTTTTACTTTATTCGATAGAAAATGACACTCTGAATAGAATGTTATATCATATGTCAACTTTTTGACATTTTTGCTTAAAAAATTGTATTTTTAAATTTCAATCTAGATGAGTGCCATGGCATAAATGTTAACGACAATTTGACTCGAAATACTAAGTGTGTGGTACCAAATTATTCTGTAATTTTTTCAAATATGCTAATGAACCATCCTCGTTCAATTTGAAAAAATAAGTTATGATTAAATATATGATTTGGGAATCTTTTAAGAGGCCAGTATAAGACACGAAAAATATTAGACGATAAAATTCAAGGCTCTTTGATTGAAATTTAAAATACGATTTTGTAAGCGAGAATGTCAAAGTTGATATATTGTGTATTTAATTGTCATTCAACTTAAAGTGTCATTTTTCCATTGAATGTTTTGACAAATTATTTGTCAGTTTTTGGTCTCAAAATTCAAAGTCACGGTACGTCACTGGATCTATGGAAATGATTTAGTTGTTCGATGATTTTGAAAGAACGCATTATGGCCATTAAAAAATTACTAATTTTACAATTTATATATTTTTTATTTTGAATCATATAAAAACCGAACAGTGGATAATGTTGCATTTTTCGAGCCCCTTCGTATCTTGGTTACCTTATAACTTATCGAAAAGGTGAAAACTGAGTCTCATAGAGTTTTTCATGTAGAATTCAATGGAGTAATTAGATTTTCGCTGAAAGCTGTAATTTCTTGAAATATGACATAAAAAGTTATATTTTTTTTATATTATTTATTTTATTTTATCTGCTTTAGTTATTATCGTAAGTGAAAGGCGATAACCTGCTAACTCCATTTTTTATGTTAATAAGTTTTTTATACCATTAGAAAGAGAAAAAATACTCTATAAGTAGGGAAAGCAAATAAATGTTTCCCATTAAAGAAAATTTGCTATTTTAACTCAATAATATTTGCTAACTCCCAGTAATCTGAAATAGCCACCGAAATGCTGCTATCTCCGTAATTTCCGTTGCGATCACGCTAAAGCAAACACACGGATACTTACTCGTATGTTTCTTTAGTACAGTACGTCGATCCAGGGTCGCACTAGGCCAAACGGGCCCGGGTGGCAAAGAACGGAGAGGCCCGTGTGGATTTTTTTTTTGAAAAACGATTTTTTTTATATACGAGCAATTCATCGGCGCGGCGTGCTATAAATAGTTTAAATAATATTACTTACTTGTACAAGAATTTCCATAATACCTAATCAGTTTTATTTTTTCAACGTTTTTCCACGTAAATGATACACAATCTTTATAAAAATTAAAAAAATAAGGAGAAAAGTTATAAAAATTTAATAAAATCACGCTGTTTTCATCCTATAATGACCGCACTGTTTTCCAAGCTCGGTCTACTACCGTTGTAAAAAAATTAAGATAAGCATGGAAGGACCATATCATCTAAGAATTATAAGTTTAATTTTTAAATTATTTTCATATTCATTAAGTCAAAAATGCTGCCACTTCAGTTCTTTAAAAATGCATTAAAAATTTATTCGTCTTTCGACTTGTATGTATTGCTTCTAGACCGACGATATTATAAATATATGGTTATTAACATCATATTTTTTAAATATAATTGATTATTTCTAAATCTGTTTGGGTAATATTCAATTCCATTTTCAAAATTTCAAACAATAAAGATTGCTATCTCCAGAAATATATTTTTATTTCTTATTTCTGCAAGACGAATATCTGCTATCTCCATATTGTGTCTGAAAAAAATGAAGTAACACGAAATAGAGTTTTATTGTTCCCCAGCAAATAAAATTCTTATCTCTTTATCATATTAAAAGAAATGAAAATACATCCTACATGTGTACATATTTTTTTGTACTGTTTTTTTGCTCTCCTCTAAAATTAGAAATAATAGAATTAGCAGTTTATCACATTTCACCGACGTTATGATCTTTCGAAAAATATAGTATATTCTATACTTATTTTCACTAGTAAGGTAAATTAAATATCTGTTTAAATTAGGTAATTCATTTCACACGCTAGTTTATTCTGTATGTAGAGCAAAATTATCTGGTTAAATTAAATAAAATAATATCAATTTTTACGCCTCTGTATACTATATACCGGGTGCTTTTCAAAAGTGGCTCGCCCCTATAACTTTTTTAATTTTTCACATAAACTAACGATATTTGGTATATTAGTATATGACATAAATTAGAATTGATTTTGATTGATGTATTCAGTTGTTTTCTGTCACTTCCTGTTTTACCGGAAATTACTACAACTTTCGATTTTTAAATGGCAGACTCGGTATTTTTTTACTTTATTCGATAGAAAATGACACTCTGAATAGAATGTTATATCATATGTCAACTTTTGACATTTTTGCTTAAAAAATTGTATTTTAAATTTCAATCTAGATGAGTGCCATGGCCATAAATGTAACGACAATTTGACTCGAAATACTAAGTGTGTGGTACCAAATTATTCGTAATTTTTTTTTCAAATATGCTAATGAACCATCCTCGTTCAATTTGAAAAAAAATAAGTTATGATTAAATATATGATTTGGGAATCTCTTAAGAGGCCAGTATAAGACACGAAAAATATTAGACGATAAAATTCAAGGCTCCTTGATTGAAATTTAAAATACGATTTTTGTAAGCGAGAATGTCAAAAGTTGATATATTGTATTTAATTGTCATTCAACTTAAAGTGTCATTTTTTCCATTGAATGAATTAAAAAATCGGGGGAGCTATTTAAAAAGCAATAGTACCAAATCTCGTTTATTTATCTGAAAAAATAAAAAAGTTATAGGGGGTGACCCACTTTTGAAAAACACCTGGTATAACTAACGTTCATGTGAGTTCCTACCAATGGGAGTTTATTTTAAGTAATTATTCTCAAAAAAAGTTATCCTGCGTGTTATTCCCTCCTTTCAGGATAGTTACTTAGTTACTTAATTATGTAAACCAATCTTCGTTTAAAATTAACTAATTGTGTTGTTAATCTTGTTTATTCGTATTTATTTACTACTTAAAATTTCGCAACTTTAGAATAACTGAAATCTGCTATAAAAAAATATATTTTGCGTTTTATTTTTAATATTTTTCTGAACATATAAACACAAAAATGTTCCTGCGGAAAGAAGCTGTTTTCATTTTCTAAGGAAATTTATTAGATTTTAGAATAGCTGAAATCAGTTATATAACAAATAAATATATTTTTGCCTTTTAGAATCATTTACGAATTGAGGAAAATAAAAATTTTCCTGCGGAAATAAACTGTATCCATTTTCTGAGGAAATTTAATAGACTTTAGAATAGCTGAAATCAGTTATATAAAAAATAAATATATTTTTGCCTTAGAAGCGTTTACAAACTCAGGAAAATAAAAAATTTCCTGCGGTAATGCTTGATTTTCATTTTCCATTTTTGTAAGCATAAATACATAAATTATCTTTTTATCACTTGTGAACCAAAAAAAATCATTTAAAAGTGTCTAAAATGCTAACCAATCTAATAATATTTTACAAAATCAGTTAATTATTAAAATATAAAACACAGCTTAACACCCTCCACAAAGAAAATCTAACCAAAGCAACCCAATTCCTAACCAATCTAATAATATTTTTGCAAAATCACCAGTTAATTATTAAAATATAAAAACCAAAAGAAAGCTGCATGATCCAATGATTTTTTGTTTTGAATCAGCCCTATATACGTAAAGCTTTAATAAAAAACAAGAATTAGTGCAACATTCCGAGGTACTTATATAGTTTACAAGAACCTGTTTTACCCCACCCAGCACCCCTATTCGTTCCCGGGTCCCGTAAGCTTCTAAACTGAAAAATGTATGAAAAACAAAGTGCACAAAATGACATTGACACATTTCCGCAGGATTTTTTTTTTATTTCTTTAATTTATATATTTAATTAATTATAAAGCTCGTAAAGGCTCGTATAAAACAAATATAAGTTCATTTTTCATGTAACTGATTTCGGCTATTCTAAAGTCAAAGCATTTTTTTATGTAAAATAAAAATAAAAAATTTCCGTAGATACTTTTTTGTGTTTTTATGTTTAGAAAAATGTCTAAAACTCACCCCGAAGACTAGTTTTGATGTAACAGATTTCGGCTATACTAATCTCCGAAAAATGAAAATGACGCATTTCCGCAGGAAAATTTTTGTATATTTTTTGTACTCCTAACGCCTTCTAGAACGCATATATAAAGTAATTTTTTATACCTATAACAGATTTCAGCTAAACGAAAGTTGAGCCCAATTTGACTTAGTTAGTCCAGTAGCGTATCTGTATTTTTGATATTAAGTAATTATATTAACTTACTAATTTTTATCAAATATATATTTTTTGCAATTCTAATAAGGTATTTTATATGAAAATAATAATTTATGCAAAACGTCATATTAATATGCATCACGCACTTTATAATAGGTAGAATGCAAGCTTGTACCTTGGTTTATATACTTCCTTCCTGAATATATGTAAAACCCATAGCGATTTCATTATAATAAAATAGTACCTACCTATCACACGGTCTGTAATGACTACCATATAAAATTTTAAATACTTATTTATAAACGCCTTTCCTACAAGATAAACTATTATTATTATTGTGTTATTAATATTACAGTATAATCTAACTGTAAATATCAACATAATTTTAATAATATATACAAGTTTGGTAATGAACTGTTGCAATATGTGTGTGATTACTTAATGATTAGAATAATAAGTTTATCATGCGTATTATAAATGGAGAAATATATTGTCACAGATTATAATATTGTTTTCAAAAGTAGCCACCGTCAAAGACTTATTCAATCAATTGATCTGTTATCAAATACAAGGAAAAATAAATTTTAATTACCTATAACATTTTTTTTATTTATAACAACCTTTTGCACAAATTTTACTTCAGCTGGTTAAAAACACTAGTAAAAGAATTCATACAGGGTCCGGCAATAGCGCGCCGAGCATCTGTAGCTCCTAGAATAAAAAACTTGTGAATTTTGTGGTGGGAAAGTACAAACCTAAAGCATAAAGTATGTACTGGGATGTATTTCGGGAAAATAGTTTAACTTCTATAGGGTGGCTTAAAAAAGTGTGAGCGGATATGAATGTTTTTTTAAATGGAACACCCTGTATATTATAGTAGTTTTGACTTCCTTTCAGATCACTATGCATAATCTTAAGATATGAGGTTATATCGATAGTTTCAGAGATATTAATAAATAGATAAAAAATATATACAGGGTGGCGCACCTCATTCGCCTCGGTTGATTATACGAAAAAGGAATGATGTAGAAACAAAATATTTTTTGAGTATATGTGGGAAGGTAATGTGCCGAATTTAAAATTATTTTGAAATGTACAGGGTATGTCAGAACTAAGATACACACCAAAGTGTTATATTTTTTCTTATGGAGCACCCGGTATTTTATTTCATATTTGGATCCGTGGACACAAAATAAGGCATTTATTATAAGTGTAAAATATGTTTACAAGTTTTGGTTTTTGAGACATTTAAAGATATTGAAATATGCATGCTATAATAAAAAAAATTGTCAACACCCTGTACATTGCTTTTCACAATTAATTCTTGTGCTGACCTTTAAGCCAAAGAAATAAACTTTATTGAAAAATTTGATTGCTTCGTTTAATGTATACAGGCGTATCAAAAATTGCTTGTCTATTTTAGATATTTATTTTATATAAAAACTTCGTTATTTCAAATACAACACCCTGTATTTTTTTAATTAAATCAAAGCAGATTCAAATGCTTTTTCAAACTATTTTAGGGTTTCCTATACCTATGGCCATAAATGTATCGACAATTTGACTCGAAATACCAAGTGTGTGATACCAAGATACCTAATAGAGATATTAGTAGCCCCCCTCCCCCAGACAACTTGTGCGGGTCGTTTAAAACTGGTTTTAACCTCAAAACAATTTAACCCTAAAAATGTATGTCTAGTTGCGGCACTGATTGGGTGTATCTGCGAAACCGTTAAAAATTTGAATACTTTAAATACAAAAAAACCTTTATGTTTTAACTCTCCATCTAATAAAAAAATAATATACAGGGTCTAGAAAACAAAAAAAAATAATTTTATATTTTAGAAAGTTTCGCTTAGAATTTTGAACACCCTGTATGATTTAAGATTGCAATATTTATAGCTAACTAAGCATAGACTATCTAAAGTAAAAACCTAATATAGATAGATTCATTTTTTTAAGAAGGTTGAAAAATATATTTTTTTTATTTATTACTCATATCTGACTCGATGTAAAGTGATATGAAAGGAAGCCAAAAATGCAATAATATACAGGGTGTACGTTTAAAAAATTCATCCCAATCCACTCACACTTTTTTGAGCCACCCTATAGAAAATGTTATCCTGAAATACCTCCTTGTACATACTTTAGGTTTGCACTTAAGCAAAATTCTCAAGATTGTTATTCTAGGAGCTACAGATACCCAACGCACTATTGCCGGACCCTGTATAAGAATGAAGTGGAACAGTGGAATTTTATTATCATATTTGACCTGTTTTAGGCAAAGTCACTGTCAATGTCAATTTCAGAGATCACTCAAAATCAAACGTTATAGAATTCACGCCATACAATCTAGTTTAAATCTAATCGTTTCGGTGTTCTCTATAAATTACTATGTCTCTTCAAAATCAAAATCAGAATCACTCGGGCCAGCGATCAGCCAAACGAACCAAATACTCTAAAGATCCAATTGACTTCTGCAAAGTTGGAGGACTGGCTCATCACTTGGCTACTTTGAGGGAGGTGATCATTATTCCTTTGCTTCATAGCAATGTATTTGCTCATTTCAATATGAAAGCGCCTAGAGGAGTATTGTTTTATGGACCACCAGGTACATTTAATGTTTTTAAATAAGTCATAACAAATTTAGGCGCATTTACCTCTATAAAAACTAAGTCCGAATTCCAGCCTAATACTCTCCATGCCAATTTTATTTTTTAGTTAATTTCAAAAAGTGGTAGCAAACTAGATTTGAGGGGTGTCTCACTTGGGGTATAAAATAATGTACATGTACTGCCAGACGACTGCCAATGACGGCGAAGAAGACTGCCTCGTATGTCTGTTATATAATAATTATTATAAAATGACTTTCAAGAAAATATACACAGGGGTCGAAATTGGTCTATTTTAACAGAGAAACCCTATTTCCTAACTAGATACAGCAAAACCGACATAGATGTCATGGGCTCGATTTCTGAGACACGTTTAATGGCATAAACTGCCTGTTGATATTTTCACTGCCAACTGAGATACGGGGTCTTTTTGATTTTTTTACCGTTTTGAAAATTGCCTATAACTTTTTTATTTCGCGGAATAATAAAATTCTGTAAAAACGTTCTTAGGGCACTTTTTTAAGCACAATCCAGTGGCGTAGTCAGTTTTTTCTCTGCTTGCTCTTTTTCTTAGAAATAATAAACAATATAATTATTTAAATGGAAATCATAGTTGGCTATGAACCTAAAAAAATGCTGGTGTTTAACCCTTTCCAACGATATACAGTTATGGGTATCTATTTCTAAGAATGAGAGAAATATTAGTTGGGGGGGGGGGTTATCTTTATATCAAAGCGGGCCTTTATTTTGTGTTGACCTAGTTGCTAAGACTTTTGAAAAGGTAAGTCAACATTCTATATTAGTATTACCAATTACAATTAAAACGCCAGGATTACAACTGAACTATTAAATGGAGAATTTAGAGAGAATTGGGTTGGAAGAAGGGGCCCCATATTTTAGCCTGCTAGGTCCTGTGATTTAACTTCTTTCGAGTTTCTTACGCAGGAAATTAAAAGACTTAAATAAAAACAATTGGGACGAGAGAAGAATTGTAGAAAGCTATTAGGCAAACATTTGGTCTTTTGGATTGTAACTTTGTGCGTAAAAGATGTTTATTATGTATTCAACAAGCAGGTGCTCAGTTTAAACATCTTTAATTATTTTTTTTAGAAAACTATATTCGTCACTCAAAAAATACCGTTTTTTAGATTTGTTCTTTGTTTATTGTATCGATTTCAATTGTAATTACTAATACTAATATTAGTTAATTTACCTTTTCAAAAGTCTTTAATTATGCAGATAAATAATAATATATAATATTAAATTATTGTCGAAAAATAATTCGGCAAATAGGTCAACACAATACCAAGATCCGCTTCGATATAAAGATAATAAACCTAATATTTCTTTCATTCTTAGAAATAGATACCCATAAGTGTATATGTTGGAAAGGGTTAACCGTCAGCACATTTTTAAGTTCATAGCCAACTATGATTTCTATTTAAATAATTATATTTTTTATTATTTCTAAGAAAAAGAGCAAGCATAGAAAAAAACTGATTACCCCACTGGATTGTGCTTAAAAAAGTGTCTTAAGAACGTTTTTACAGAATTTTATTATTCCGCGAAATAAAAAAGTTATAGGCAATTTTCAAAACGGAAAAAAATTCAAAAAGACCCCGTATCTTAGTTGGCAGTGAAAATATCAACAGACTGCATATCAACAAATGCCATTAAACGTGTCTTAGAAATCGAGCTCATGGCATCTATGTCGGTTTTGCTCTATCTAGTCAGGAAATAGGCTTTCTCTGTTAAAACAGAACAACTTCGACCACCCTGTACATGTAATTCCAACAGTGAAACACCCTTCGACTAGATTATATCCATTGACCCAGGTTAAACAAAAAAATGAAAATCGAAAAAAAAAATGAAAAATAACATAGCATAAAAATATCTCTTTTTATCCTTCAGGAACTGGAAAAACCTTGATTGCTGCAGCTTTGGCGACAGAAATAAATAGGGAAGGAATCGGAAAAGTGGCATTTTTTGAAAGAAAAGGCGCAGATGTCTTGGATAAATGGGTTGGAGGCTCAGAAAAAAACTTGAGAGACTTATTCGACAAAGTATATATGATGCCGCAACCACATATGCGGCAGTCGGCGATTTCCGAGCGCTCGTCAACTGCCGAAGTCATCGGACTTCGCCTTTCCGTCCACACATGCGGGCATCGCCGCTCTCTGATAGCAAGAACATAGAGACTAGCACTCGTTTTCGTCGCCGATCAAGTCGCTGAGTTCCAACTTCCCTGTCCACATTAATCGGAGATCGGCGACGAGCGAGCGCTTGGAAACCGCCAAATGCCGCATGTGCGGTCGCAGCATGATGCGAATCTTCCAGAAACATCAATAAATTATTCTTTTAATTTATAGGCTACCAAATCAAGGCCTTCGATTATTTTCTTCGACGAATTAGATGGTCTAGCTCCAATCAGAGACAAGCAAACTGATCAAATTCATTCCAGCGTTGTAGCGACTCTGCTAGCTTTAATGGATGGACTGGATAACAAACCTGGACTTATAGTGATAGGAGCTACTAATAGGATAGAAGCTATCGATCCAGCTTTACGCAGACCAGGAAGGTTCGATAAAGAAATGTACTTTCCTCTTCCTGGAGTGGAAGCGCGTAGAGAGATTTTGGAGGTAAGGCCAGTGTTTTATTGTTATTAGCAGATTCTTCTTCTTAACCCGTAACTGGTGAGGTTGGGTAATATACCCAGAGAAAAGTTTAACACACTGATGCCAACACTATGTCGTATCGAGAACGCTGGTTCTTCAGGTATCTTCATAAGTCTACCGCCTCACACACTTTTCTGCATATTATTTTAAACATATTAAAATTGTGATTGATCTTTTATTAAAAAATCAGTGTGTTGTTATTTTATGATGGTATTGTTGAAAACACTTTATAATGGATTTTGAAGCTTCATGTATGTAGATCTTAAAAGCATTATTGCAATAATTTACGGTGGCTACAAGTTCGAAAAATCTAGATTTTGGTAAATATGTTTAAAACATAATTTTTTTGATAAACATCATGAATTAAAGAACAGGTACAAAAAAGTTCCGCCGAGTACCGTTTGCATTTTAGGTTAAAAATTTTACTTAACTCTTACAATTTCATTATGCAAAAAAAAACAGCTGTCCCAATTGAGCCTTTTTCCAGAAAGCCTTTATATTTCCAGGTAGTCGTGACGATCCTGGCCTGACATTACTATCTGCAAATAGAGAGACATTATTTCTGGTACTGCAAGGAGAAAGATTCTTTAAATTATCTTCTTCAAAGTGCACAGAACGAATCCTAAAATATGCAAAAAACAAATTTAGTGGTCGAATTGACCTATCTTTGAACTTCGAAAAGCAATTGAAAGGTGCGATGAAGGTTTTAATGTCCAAATTGCTTTAGAGATGGAAAGCATATAGAAAGTTTCCAACTGGATTTTTGAAAAGGAATGCTCATTGGCTAAAAGGGAGTTTAAAGCTGCCTCAAATTGCTCATACTGATTGATTTACTCATACTCATACTGAACAAACAGGTTTGGCAACGTCAAAAAGGGGCAAGCCAAAAAAGCCCTTTGCTGAAAGTTGTTTAAGAACAAAACAGAGAGACGTCAAACATCTTGTTTCTTAAGTACCTTTGGAAAAATTATGTTATGCTACTGAATCAAGTTTGATTAAAGGCGGGTAAAGAACTGCCTCAGGCCCCATAATATATTTTTGCCGAAAAACGACACAAAAAAAAGAAAACCCTTTGTTCAAGATGTCATAAGGAAGTTACATCTCCCGATAATGTTGCTGAAGTGCCAACGGACAGAGCTGATAATATCAATGATGATGAAATAGAAGATAGCGATGATTCAGAATGATTCTTGAGGTACATCGTTTTCACCAAATATTTGATTCTTAAAGTAAATCAATGATTTTAATTATTACTTAGATTATGAAACTATTAATTTTTCAGCAGAAAATATTTTTGTCGTCCTAAAGTAGACAATTTGCCGTATGTGCGTCTGTTGAAGTCTAGTGCTTGTGCTTCATTAGCAAAACTGCTCGCCTTTTATGAAGATTTTAGGAATTCTAGGTATCTTTAACCTGACCTCACCAGTTACGTAACACTTCGCGCTTTTTTCTGTTTGCCAGTATTGCTTACTATGGAAAGGTGTTTATGAAGTGATCCTGGTTCTAATCAGTAGGCTACGTAGGTCTTGAAGGAAAATGAAACAGTTTTATCTGCAAAGGAAAGGAAAAAAAGAAATCTCTACGGATTTACCCTATATGGACTCCTGTGTCCCCAAGAACAGTAAGCATGTACTCTTGTTTCTTCAAATCACCATACGAAAGCGACCGAAAATTCTAAAAGTTGGAAATCATTGCTTTTGACAATATCATGAAAGGTGGAATTGATGCGATAGACGCAAAGTCTACGGTCTACTCAACAAGTCATGGTATATACTTAAATTATTAATTTTGCCAATGCTGGAAATCCAAGTAAAACAAGGCTACAATATATAAAAAATTCGTGCCAGAAACCTCGTGGGAGCCTTGGATTAAAATCGAAGACTTCTCAATAAACGTGTCCCCCGTTAGTTACTGCTCAGCATTAGTAGAATACTACAAAAAAACTATTCCAGCATGAGACTATACTGGAATTAGATAAACAAGTAAGATGCTGGAAGTGTCCACCAGGCACTGACCGAAAGACTAAAAAATTTTCCCATACCTCCAGTCCAATTTGAGGAAGTTGCACAATTTTAATGTGTCGAGTATGCATATAATGATGGTGTAGATTTTAATAATATATTACATTTTGGTAGTAAAACTTCTTTACGCGCGATGGGAGTAAACATTCATGCCCGCGACACACGAGCCAGCGTCACGTCAAGCGCCACAAAAGTGGTAAAGATCTTGGGGCGTCGTAACTCGGGACCTATATGAGCTAAGGGGCCGAAACTCGGAATGTAGATGGGGCTCTTAGCGCCTTCATTTTTTCATGATATTTTGACGACGTTTCGTGCACTATGAAATCCCGTCTTCAATGGCGAAAAAATCGTCGGATTTAAATAAAATTTGGTATGTCGATAGATTGGACCAAGTCTAACTTGTACGGCACATGTCACTGTGACGGTTAGTTTTGACGTAAGAAGACGTACATCTTTATCAGGGTGGGACGGACAGCGGAGTGAACTGACAGATAGAGAGACGTTAAGCAAAAAGTTCCACTTAAAATATGCGCACATAGTGCACACACAAATTTAAGGTCAGAATAATTTATTTACGTTAATAGCTTTTTGCTTTGCAATCATGTCAGTTTTTAACTGTAAATTCACTAAATTGGTTTTAATTTACTCAGTGGCGGACTAAGGGGGGGGGCGGAAGGGGCGGTCCGCTCCGGGTCCCTTCTTCTAGGGGGCCTCCAAATCTTAATAAGTAATTTTTATTCACCTGGCAAACAGGCCAATATGTGTTTAGTAGTTATAAAGCAATTTGTAGTTAGAGTGTGCAAATCATAAGTATACGCAAACTAAACACAGTATAAATGGAAGCAGATATCTACTTAATTATCAATTATTAGGCCCCAGTAATTGTCAATGATATTTTTTTATTTACGAAATTAAATCAAGGGGTAATTTTCTTTGTTTAGAATATCGAATAATTATTATTTTTTATATTCGAATAATTATTATTTATTCTTGGACCTATATAGGAGTATACCGCGATTTTGATAAGGGGCCCTTTATTATATATTATATATTTACCTGGAACGGTCGCGAAAGTAACGCGGCTTATATGTGGAACCGGTATAATCCCATCACTTTGTCATCATAAATTGCCATTAAATATATGCAAACATTCGCTCGGGGATTGTTTTATTACGTCAAATTGCATTCGTTTTTCAATTTAAATGTATTATTATAAGCTTTAAAAAAATTGATGTTATCGTTTTTGAGGCCTTTTTGGAGCTGGGGCCCTTAATCCTCTGGTCGGGGCCCATCGAGTCCCTACATAAAAACGGCACTGCCGATGAATAACATGTTTATATCTACAGGATGTCCGCGGACTGTCTTCATAAAAAATTTTGCTTGTTCTAAAATGGTAATTCCTGTTTATACTTTTCCAAATTTCCATACCGTTTTAGACATTGAGTTTTAGAGAAAAATAAAAAAAAACATGAGAATGTAGTTGGACTACTTAATTTTTGAACTAGTAAAAATAAAACGCCTTTCTATGGTAATATAATGTCGTTCTCATTTTTTGATAGATTATTATTAACAGAATTTTAATCAAAGTTAAATTTTTTGCTGTTTTAAAATGTTAAAGAAGCACAAAATTTATTTGCTACGGAAAGGGTGATAATAGTTATCGGAAGATGTGATACTTTAACATCAAAAATATGACGTTAATCAAAATTAATTATAACGATTTATCAAAAAATGAAATCGAAATTATATTACCATAACCTTTTAATTTTTAGGACTTTTAGTTTTTTAGGATTTTTTTGGGGAAAAAATTACGTTAAAAAACCACATTTTTATACTTTTTTTGTTTTTCTAAAACGGTATGGATATTTAGGAAATAATAAACGCCATTTTACAACAAGCAAAAATTCTTATGAAGAACGCATTTTTTTCAAAAAGTCAATAATTAAAAAGTTTTTCCTCTTGTAATCTGTGTCTGTTTTTTCCTCTCGGTGCGTCCCAGAAATAAGTGCTAGTATTTTCACTGCTAGTATAGTTCAACCCCAGAAACACGCATATGAGGTTTTTTTTCATGAAAAAATTGAAAACTTCCCAAAAAATTTTTTGGGAATTTTTTAGTTTTTAGTTAAAAAAAACATAATTTTTGTTACTATGACAACATAGGTATTAGATTAAATTTACAAGAAAGAAAATCCAGAAAAGATGCAGTGGTTCTCAAAATTTTAGCAAATTTTTCGTAGTAAAATAACCCGTTATTTTGGACTTATTGAAAAACGATAAAGAAAAAAAATATGTTTCTTTTTATCTAGCACCCTTAAAAATACTTGCACTTATTTCTGTGACACCCTGTATATATATATATATATATATATATATATATATATATATATATATATATATATATATATATATATATATATATATATATATATATATATATATATATATATATATATATATATATCGATTTTATTACAATTAGTAGGTACAGTATATAAATACTTGAAATTTGTCAACCGTTATTCATACGTCATTCAATCTTTACAAAATTTGCAGACCGGGGGCCACATTTTGCTTTGCCGCCCCGGGCCCCCGACAGGCTTAGTCCGCCACTGAATTTACTTAAGTTGGGTTTTAATTTAGGTACATACTTCGTCATGGAAGTTCAAACCCAATGGAAGGTTTCTTAAAACATTAGTGGATGCTACTTCGGGTTACAGTGGAGCAGATTTACAAGCACTGTGCTCCGAAGCCTTAGTCAGGTGCATGAAAAGAACTTATCCGTGTTTGAAGAAGATCAAAGTGAATCCTGAATCTCTTCGGGTAAATTAAATCTGTATATTTAATTTCTTCTTACAACTCTCAAAGACTCAATATAGACAAGCTATTTTGCCATTTCTGGCCCAAAATTTTGAAAATAGCGGGTGCGTCTGAAAAGTGGCTCACCTCTATAACTTTTTTATTTTTTTCACATATAAAAACGACTTTTGGTATGTTAGTATATGACATAAATTAGGATTGATTGACGTATTCAGTTGTTTTGTCTGCTACTTCCTGTTTCACCGGAAATCACTCAATAACAATATTTAATTGTTAAATGACACCCTTGTTATTTTTTACTTTATTCGATAGGAAATGACACTCTGAATAGAATGACGTATCATATGTCAACTTTTGACATTCTCGCATAGAAAAAATGTATTTTAAATTTCAATCTAGAGTGCCATGGATATGGTAAAAACACTAATTTTTAATCAAGGAACCTTTGACAATTTGATCGTCTAATGTTTTTAGTGTCTTGTCCTGGCCGATTAAAATATGCCCAACTCGTTTTTTTTTTAATCATATCTCAATTTTTTCAAATGGAACGAAACTGGCTCATTAGCATATTTGAAAAAAGCATTTTTTATGAGTAATTTGGTACCACACAACCACACACTTGGCATTTCGAGTCAAATTGTCGTTATAAACCGCATGTTACAATTTCAAATAAACCATATGCGAAAATGTCAAATGCTGACATATGCTATATCATTCTATTCAGAGTGTCATTTCCTCTCGAATAAAGTAAAAAAATACAGAGGATGCCATTTAAAAATGGCTTGTTCTCTTGATCTCAAAAGTTGCAGTCATTTTCGATGAAACAGGAAGTGACCGAAAACAATTGAATACGTCAATCAATCCTAATTTATGTCATATGGTAACATACCCAATATCGTTTTTTTATCTGAAAAAAAATAAAAAGTTATAGGGGTGAGCCACTTTTGAAACGCACCCCGGATATTAAGTTATTCAGCCGGATAAATGAATAAGCTGTGATGTCTTCTTATTTTCTTCTTCTTGTTTTTTTTTTAATTCAAGTCTATCCAACAAGAGGATCTGTGACAGTGGCAGTTGCAAATGTCATTTTAAATCGCAGCATAGATAAATGAAACAAGTTCAGAATAGAAAGCCTGTTAAAATTTTAGTTCGCGAAATTATTTTGGGTCGCGACCGTTGTACGCGATCTGGCGCTGCTATAGCTAACAGAACAACCGCAAACAAAAACAGAAATAATTTTCTCTTGTCCATATCTCTTATCAAAGTCAGAATCTTTAAAAATTATAAAATCTTTCAAAATCTAAACTGTTCTCGTTGAAAAAATTCCGAAAAGTATTTATAGCGTCCATTTTCAAAGTAATTATTGCTATCTTGTGAGTTTAATTTAAGCTTTATTTACCCCAACCCGTGATAATTGTGAAAAAGTGGCATTAAAAACTTAAAAAGCGTGCTGTGAAATGTGAACTGCAAAAACCATCGTGGATCGTGGCATAACGTCGGTTTCCAATGTTTCATAGGTATTTCATACATGTCCTTATATAAAAGAAAGTTTCTTGTATGCAACACACTGTATTTTATTTATAAAATTAAAAGAAAATTATAATAAATTGGAATAAATAATATTTGGAATCCGGAAAAAGCCGAACCGCTACAAAATTTTCAAAAGCTTTTGGTCGCGACCGTTACAAGAATAGCGCCAAATAGTGTTTACATTGTCCTTATGGGCACCTTCCAATCTAAACTTGTTTCATTTATCTATGATTCGCAGGCAAAATTTTATTTTCTATCATAGTTCGGATGTCGTCTGTCGAAATATTCCCTGACCCTGACTCGTTGAACAGACTTTAATACTAATAAACTAATAGGTATTATGCATGTTATAAACTCTTTCAGATAGATGAATGCGATTTTCTTAATGCCAGATTAAACTTGGTGCCATCTACGTTGAAAGCAGGCAACAAGATGAGGAAATTGAGTCCGATCATTCTGCCGTTACTAGATGGACAATTGAAAAAAATAGTTAGATCTATACATACATTTTGGCCCCATTTTTTAAAAGAGGATTTTAGGTATCAAATTTGCTACTAAATAATCTTCCAAATTAACTAAAAGTTATCGTTTATCATTTCCGCTAGTATTATGCTAGTATTAAAGCTTCAATTTCATGCATCCGTTATCCGACGATACGGTGATACGATTCATTTTATAGGTTGAATTTAAAGACTTCGATTGGTTAGAAAATTACGCAGTTTTTAAATTTATTGCATTTTCATGCCTCCGTTTATCGTATATACAATTTGTTTGTGACTGGTGTCATTTTATATTTTCATTTCCATAACGAATTCGCTGTTGTACTTATAGTCTAAGAGCTAGCAACGTTTTCGAAAGAGAATTTTAAGAGAGCTGGTTCTTTAATATATCTTTTGCTATACACTCCTGAGTGCGGACCGTCTGGCTCCCGGCTCCCAGACGTTTTGTTCACTACTGCGCATTATATCTGTATTCAACATCTGTTTATTACTGCGCGTCACAAATTTGCCCTGTATTTCAGGAACTAAAGAGACTAGGACAAACATATGTGTAGCGTATTTAGTTTTATAAAAAAGTAGCAAAATAATGTGTAAACCGCATCATTGTGCTCATAAACGAGAAATCCCATAAAACACACGAAAATATACTGGAATACCCTGTACTCTGTACATATGTGATGCGCAGTAGTGAACCGTAGTAGTCTACCACCGGCAGCCAGACGGCCGCCACTTTGGTCAGGAGAGCACAGGAGAGCATAGCAAAAGATATATTAAAGAACCAGGAGTGGAACTCTGTAACGAAATAGCGATCGGTAGCGATGAAGAATACTGTCGCTTGCCGTTTAGTTTGTACGCCCAAGATCAGTATTCTTCATCGCTACAGATCGCTATTTAATTACAGAGTTCCAGCCCAGCTTTCTTAAAATTCTCTTTTTGCCGACGGTGCTAGCTCTTGTACTATTATATTTTTATTAAGGTTAGATTAAATTTGTCAAAAAAATGTCGAAACGTCCGTCATGGTACGATCTTTCTCCATTGACGGACTGGAGTAAGATATATACTGATGAAAAGTGGCGCGAAAACGCTATGACCAATCAGAGCGCCGCGCACCGTCGGACCATCGTATCAACGGATAACGGATGCATGAAAATGAAGCTTTAATCAGTCAAGCCTATTTTGAACAGGCTTTGAGAAATGCTAAATTTTTCAGTGTATACCGTAGTTTTTAATCCGTCTTACCTGACAGACAAAATGTTATGTGTAGTCGAGGCTAAGACGGACGACTGTCTTGAGAACTGCCGTCAGTTTTCTAGACGGTCTTCCGTTTTACCTGACACGCAAAACTGACAGGTAAAACGTTATTTGTAGACGGGGTTTAGACTGAACGAACTGTTAGTCAACCAGATATTAATAATTTTTAGATACCTTGTTGGTGAAGAGCGGTATGCTGGTAAGGTAGTCTTACAAGGAAACAACATGCAAGGACTAAACACTCATTTGGTACCAGCACTGTTACAACGTCTAGAATACCTACCCGCATTCATATACGACATAACGAAGATATTCAAGGTCCGAACTAAAAACAAATACTTCAATTAAACGCTGTTTATCGACCAATTAACAGTTAGTTTCAATTAAGTTTATTTTTAGAAAATTACTATATCCAATATCCAACACAATTTTCCCTCGGTCATTATGCTGTCCAAAGTGGATGAGTGGTGGAACTTTATCGACGAATGCGAACAACTAAGCATAGTTTCATCCCTGGAGGAAATTCATGCTGGACTACCTGTACTGGTTTTGGCAACCTGTCAGAAAGACGTACCTCTCATGGTAAGGCAACAATTTGATTACTTCAAAATAATAGTCTTAATACTAATGCTGTATTCCCTTGTAAAATGAGATTGGTAAACTACGGTAAGTTATTGAAAAATATCGGTAAAATACGGATAAATTTAATAAAATAATAGAAATGTTAAATATCGTCGTTTTATGAATTTCAATATTCTTATAATAGAACCTTCATTTCGTCCCATTGCTGCCAAAATTCACTAACCTACTTTTTATTACTTCCGAGAAAAAACGCGTCTAAAGACTAATTGCATTGCATAAAGTTGTTGTTAGTGACTATTCAGTATTTAAATACAGCATAAATAGCCAGAAATCGTAGTTAATGACTTTTTCAATAGATTCTCCGCTTCAAAATGCAGTTAGTGATTGATTTGTCAGGTTATTCGGAAAAATGTAAATGACTTTTGGCAGTAATAGGACGATTTCATTATCGCGATTAGTGGAATAAATTAGTGGTTTCAATTACATTTTATACTTTGTAGTTTACGATCATTCAAAATGTCTAAAAAACACAGTTAAAATTAATAGAGTATCCTAGTATTTAGCTTATAAAAACAATCAACTTTTGATTTCTAACCACAATTTCTCTTCACGGAAGATAATCAAAAGCCAAAATGATATTTGTCGCAAATTTTGAAGTATAATTAGTGGAAAAGTCAGAGGTTTGATAACTTTTTCTACTAATTGAAAATGTCTACCACTAATTTTGACGTTCGGAATGCTTACATTGAAATTAAAGGAACAAACTTCTACCTTAACTGAAACCATTAATTTATTCCACTAATTGAAAGATTGTGAATGAAGCTTTAGACTCATCAGACAGTTCAAGTTTTTTTTTGAAGTGAAACTTCTTTACGCGCGCTGGGGTAAAAATGCGGGGCCGTGCCACGACAGGCGAGAGTCACACGACAGGCGAGAGGAAAAGTGGTAAGGACAGCCTACGGCTTAGAAAAAATCGTCCGATTTAAATGATATTTGGTACAGTACGTCTGCTCGATCTGTGTCTATGAAAGGAATGCGGACAAAAAACATTTAAATAAACAGCAATATATTTTATACGTCGACTTGACGAGTACGTCACCGCAAATCGCTCCGCCCGCTCATTTTATTGGCTAATTGCAAATTTGTCAAATTTTCATTGACGGGACGCGTCGTCTAATTTTTTACGAAAAACGTCGAGAGAATATCGTTTCCCCTCTCACGGATACCCCGTAGCTACAGAATGGACAGACGTACTGTATGTCGATAGATTGGACCAACTTGATCGTGTACGATACGTGTCACGATACGTGTGACAATTTTGACGTAAAAGACCTCAAAGGTTGATGATGATGATCAAAATGATTTCAATCAAAGGTTGAAAAACTGATGTATGTGGGGCAAAACCGTCGTGTCGCATCGTCGATAAAAATTTCTGCCGCCTCTTGATTTTTGGAACGACGCGTGGCGGTCCAACCTGATAGTGTGTGGAAATTTCGTTCCAGATCGTCGGTTTTTTCTGCATTAGCAATAATAAAACCAATCTTCTGGTGCAAATTTTAATTTACTTAATAGATGAATATGAGAGTAAATCCTTCGTTTCAATGGCCATTCTTTAACCCAAATGGATTTCTGTTTCTTTTTCCTTTTGCTTATAACCGAAACCGCCTCTGCCACTGCCAGCAAGTACTTTCTTTTCATGACGTAACCAAAAAACGTTGTCGTAGCTCGCACAAAACTGAACTGTCCGAATTACCTGATAATGTGGGGGCAAAAGAGTTCTGCGATTCAAAACGACGTTTCGGATCGCGGCGTTGCGAAAGGATGAAATTAACCGTAGTCTGTGAGGGGCTTTAGAGTATTTACACCTACCAAAACTGCTCAAATGTTTGGTGGTAAACCCCTAGCAATAGTTTTAATTAATAAACTGTCCGAATAGGGATGTGCTAGGTGTTTTGATTAAGATACTGGTCTCATAAAATAATTCACAAATGATCACTCGCAATACAATGCTGATTGTAGCGACAACCTTATTTCTAATTGTCTTGTTTTAGACCAAAAATGTTCTTCAGAAGCTTGCTTAAAGTCCTCAAATTTCCTCATTGTTAAATGTATGTAAATAAGCTTGTTGCCGCAACGCTGGCTCGTTTTTAAAGTTATTCCCAATTCCATACTTAAAACTTTCGAAAGATATATTAGAGGTATTGTAAAAATATTCAAACTGTTCTAAAAATTCCATTGGTTGAATTATTTGATTGTCAAAAATAAGAATTTTATTGTATATATCCGAAAGACCTAAGTTTCTACTATTAAAAGACACTGTCTCAGTATTAGGTAAGTTTACATTATTTTGATTGATCTGAGTAATATTACTTATAATTCTATTCTCTACCCGCCGTAATACATTTGAAAATAAACTAATTAACTCTTCGTAATTATTATTTTTACTTAAAGAAAAAAATTGTTCATTTTTAGGTTTGGTGTTTATTATTAAGACTTCGCTGTCCGTCCGTCCGTCTGTCACAAAGGTCTATCTTATGAACCATTATAGCTAGACAGTTGAAATTTTTACAGATAATGTATCTATGTTGCCGCTATAAGAACAAATACTAAAAACAGAATTAAATAAATGTTTATAAATAAAAAGTACTTTAACTAAACAATATCTTTTCAGTAAGAATTTACATGGAATCTTTCAAGTCCTCGGTGGCCGCGTGGTTATAAGCGTTAGGACTCTAAGCTGGCTATGACGTTGGAGCCGTAATAAGTAATAAGGCAGGTTCGAATCCTAGTCAAGGCGACTTTTTTAATCTTTTTTTTTTATTTTTACATATTTATTTTTACTTTTTACATATTTATTATTGATTAATACAATTTTTAGTAATGTGTTTGTTCATTTTGTTTTAATTACTTATACGCGCATTCAAAATTTCAGCTAAATCGGAAAAAAAGTTTATAATAATATAGTGTCTAATGTTGTAATAGATAATGGAACACCGTGGAGTCCGACTCGCACTTGACCAATTTTTATTTTTTGTCGGTTCATTTGAAAATAACGATTTTTCTTGTTCCCGAACCAAATCACTTGTAGATGTCCTTTGATGGTTTGGTAAAAAGTTACAGGCCTCGCTGGCAAGTTGTAAGCATCCTGGGCTTTTGGTGATAATATTTTCGAAACTCGTACACGTAGGAGTTGGAATAGGTGAAAAAAATTCTCTCCTACCTTGTCTCGCTGGTGTATCACAGAGGCTTGCTATAGATCCCCTTCTGTTGTTGTCATCGGTGTCCATCTCCAGCGTTCTTTCTGGACTAGTTGAGTTGTTTTTTCAGTGCTTCTAACTTTGGGGATTGCTCCAGTGCTGGATGTTGTCCCTCGTTGATCGAACGACACCGTTCGATTGCGTAACTGGTACCCCGCTTCTTTTGTCTTTGGTGATCGTTCTATACCCATCTCTGGCCCCGTTGGGTGCCAAGATGTAACTCGCGCATTCACTGTATTTAACAATAGTAAAATAATTACAATAATAATACCAAATAATTCCCCTTACAAACACTTAATTTTGCTTTAGTTAAAGGACTTCTTCTACAATAACAGTAGCATCCTATTGAAAATCGAAAATCCCACCGACGAGGAGAGGAAAGCCTTCTTCAAGCCGCTTTTTTTCGATAAGAACATCGTCAGCGTGACCAGCGTTTTGGAAAATTTGAAACAAATCGAAGAAAAGCCTTGCGTGAAACGTAAGTAGAAAAGAATTTAATAGGGATATCCAAAAATATTTACGTATTAAAATATCGATAGATAAAAAAATCGATATCCTTTTTAAATATTATATATTACCGGGTGCGTCTCAAAAGTGGCTCACCCCTATGACTTTATTATTTTTTCAGATAAAACAACGATATTTGGTATGTTAGTATATGACATAAAATGGGATTGATTGACGTATTCAATTGTTTTCGGTCACTTCCGGTTTCACCGGAAATTACTACAACTTTTGATTTTTAAATAGCACCATCGGTATTTTTTTACTTTATTCGATAGAAAATGACACTCTGAATGACATATCATATGTCAACTTTTGGTATTTTATTTTATTTTATTTAAAATTGCAACATGCGGTTCATAACGTCAATTTGACTCAAAATACCAAGTGTGTGGTATCAAATTATTCGTAAAAAAATGCTTTTTCCAAATATGCTAACGAGCCACCCTCGTTCTGGTTGGCAGCTTTTAACCGGCCAGGACAAGACACTAAAAACCTTAGACGATCAAATCTATTTTTTCAAGGCTCTTTGATTAAAAATTAGTATTTTTAACAGAGCCATGGCACTCTAGATTGAAATTTAAAACAGAATTTGTTTTTGAGTGACTATGTCAAAAATTGACATATGATATGTCATTCGATTCAGAATGTAATTTTCTATCGAATAAAGTAAAAAAATACCGAGGGTGCCATTTAAAAATCAAAAGTTGTAGTCATTTCCAGTGAAACCGGAAGAGTTCGAAAACAATTGAATACGTCAATCAATCCAAATTTATGTCATATACTAACATACCAAATCTCGTTGTTTTATCTGAAAAAATAAAAAAAAGTTATAGGGGTGAGCCACTTTTGAGACGCACCCGGTATAGTGAAATTTTGACAAAATAATTTAGTATTAAAAGTATTAACTAAGAACACGGTATGTCGCTGGTGGCAGAAAAAATAATTTTTAGAGGTTATTAGTTTATTTGGTTGCTTAAAAAGTACATATTTGTCAATCAGACATAGTAAAAAAATTGGCGCCGAGAGGCACGTATAGCCGCCCATACTAAAATATGTCAATATCTCGAAAACTGCAACTTTGACTAATTTCGATGTTATTACAAATTTTGTTGCAAATATTATTCCTAATCTTAATTTGAAAACCGCGTTTCGCTAGCTACTGTAATTTTGGAGTTACGATTTTTTTAAATTTTAACCCCCTCCTATACCCCCTTACCAACCCCCAACCCCACCAAAAACTAATGGTCAGATTCTCGGGTGCCACAGTATTTTTGTGCCAAATTTGGTTAAAATCGGTTCAGCGGTTTTTGAGTTATCGTGTTACAGACGGCAGACAGGCAGACAGACAGGCACCACGAAAATATCTTGTATTTAGGTCATTTATGACCCAAATAAGTCATTTTGAGTGAAATTAAAAAAACTTTTTTTTGCCGATCCTAATAGCCTACCATAACTATTGGTATGGTCGGCTAAAAATAGTTTTATTAAATTTAGACCTGGGCGTCGAGAAAATACTGGGGCTTCCATGTTTTTGAACTCAAAACAGAATGACATCTATGGATATACAAAGGCCTTCAACATTAAAACGTAAAGTTTTTAAATTGTTTTATTACACTCTCCCAAATATTTTTCACATTAGAAATGTTTACTGTAAAATTATTAACGTTTATAAAATAAGTCAATGTAATTTTGCAGTTACGTTACTAGTCAAGAAACATTCAACATATAAAAAAATACCAAGTGCGTCTCAAAAGTGGCCCACCCCCATAACTTTTTTATTTTTTCCGACAAAAAAACAAGATTTGGTATATTAATATATGACATAAATTAGAATTGATTGACGTATTCAGTTGTTTTTGGTCATTTCCTGTTTTACCGGAAATGGCTACACCTTTTGATTTTTAAATGGCATCCACAGTATTTTCTTACTTTATTCAATAGAAAATGAAATTCTGCATAGAATGACATATCATATGTCAACTTTTGACATTTTCGCATATGGTTTATTTGAAATTATAACTTGCGGTTCGTAACGAAAATTTGATTAGTAATACTAGTGTATGGTATCAAATTATTCGTAATAAAATGCTTTTTCGAAATATGCTAATGAGCCACCCTCGTTCCATTTGAAAAAAATGAGATATAATTAAAAATACAATTTGGGCATTTTCTAACTGGCCAAGACAAGACACTAAAAATGTTAGACGATCAAATCTGTTTTTCCAAGGCTCCTTGATTAAGAATTAGTGTTTTTAACATAGCCATGATACTCTAGATTGAACTTTAAAATACAATTTTTTTATTAAGCGAGAATGTCAAGAGTTGACATATGATACGTCATTCTATTCAGAATGTAATTTTCTATCGAATAAAGTAAAAAATACCGTGGGTGCCATTTAAAAATCAAAAGTTGTAGTCATTTCTAACATACTAATATACCAAATATCGTTGTTTTATCTGAAAAAATAAAAAAGTTATAGGGGTGAGCCACTTTTGAGACGCACCCGGTATAAGTTTTTTTTAATAATATATTTCCAACTTGTTGCAGAATTATTGACGATTACTGTATATCGATATTTTTCGTAAAAATTGGACATCCCTAAAACTTCCTTTTGTAGAAAATCCACGCTTTTGACTGTTTACTAACGGCTTGTTTCAGTGTACCCATCCAGAACAGAGATCCAAATACTGAGACGTAGCAGACGTAATGGAAAATCTTTGGGAAACATTTTGCTGAAAAATAAACGTAAGAGAGACCCTTCAGGACCCTCAGGACCTAGCAGGAAAAAGTTAAAACCTATGGATAGTATAAGCGACTTATTTAAATGTAACAGTACAAGCAGCTTATACGATATGCACAAAGAAATAAAGAGTAGGTTGCCTTTCTCTTCATGTTTTGTAAACTATCCATAAATATAAATATATCTAATAATATTCTTCCAGAATTATTATTACACATTCTTCTACATATTCAGTTAACTGTTGATATTTTTGTTTTTAAATATTTATAATAATATGAAAGAGAGAGAAGAGCAGAAGGGTTGTGTCAAAAAATCTCAAGGATGCAAGGAACAGCTCATAATAGACTCAGTAATACTCGAGCAAGCAGCTAACAAATGACGAAACATCTACACGGCATTTATCGATTATAAAAAAGCCTTTGATTCGGTACCGCACTCCTGGCTCCTGAAAGTACTACAGATATATAAGATAGACCATAAAATTATAAATATGCTTTAACATTTAATGTCTACGTGGAATACAGTTCTAGAAATTAATCAAAACCAAGGAATAGTCGTATCACAACCGATTAGTGTCCAAAGGGGTATTTTCCAGGGTGACAGCTTAAGCCCTTTATGGTTTTGTCTGGCACTAAACCCGCTGTCTTCGATTATGAATAAGACCGGCTACGGATTCCATATAAAGTAACTCAATAAGTAAAAGTAGTTAAAGTACTCAACATCATGTTATCAGTCACTTGATGTACATGGACGACATTAAATTGTTTGCAGGGAATGAAAAACAACTTCAACACCTTCTTGAAATTACAAAGACTTTCTCTAAAGATATTCAAATGTCCTTTGGGTTGGACAAATGTAAGTTACTTAATATAAAGCAAGGTAGAATAATATCTAGTTGATTCGACTTAGGTGATAGAGATATCATAGAATCCTTGGAAGAACATGAAACCTATAAATATCTTGGACTAGCTCAAGGTAAACGCTTACAGCACAAAGAAATTAAAGAGAAAATCACCTCTATATATATTAGTAGACTGACGAATATACTTAAGTCTAAATTAAACGAAAAAAAAACACAGCTACGCAATTCCGATAATCTCATATACTTTTGGGACTATAAAATGGACGAAAACAGAACTTGAAAATATCCAGATCAAAACGCAAACCACACTAACAAAGTTTAGGGCGCATCATCCTAAGGCAACAGTTGAGAGATTAACCCTCCCACGCAATAAAGGTGGGAGAGGTCTAATTGATTTAAGGTTTCTACACGCCAAACAAATCTATTGTCTTCAAAAATACTCCCTGCAACAGGCATCAGATCTTCACCGAGCAGTAGTGAGAGCAGATAACAAACACACCCCTTTAGATCTTCAACATGCCGTTGACATCAGGCTCCCATCGGATGTAATCTACGAACGAGAGAAAGTCGAGGATTGGACTCGAAAAGTACTGCATGGGAGATTTCCGCATGAGCTTAACCAAAATTATGTAGATCAAGATGCGTCGAACAAATGGTATCTCAAGCGGATTTATTCCTCGAAACTGAAGGTTTTATGTTATCAATCCAGGACCACGTCATAGCTACGAGGAACTACAGAAAATTCATCCTTAAAGAGCCGAATGTAGTAGATCAATGCCGAAGATGTCATGAACCTGGTGAAACTATCCAGCACGTGATAGCTGGATGTCGAGTGCTAGCACCAACCTCCTACCTCCAAAGACACGACCAAGTAGCGAAAATCATTCATCAAAAGTTAGCAACCCTTTGTAATTTAAAAGAAGATATTACACCTTATTACAGATATGAACCTGAAAATGTGTTAGAAAATGCCCACTTTAAACTCTACTGGAACAGAAGTATACTTACTGACAAAACAACTCCGCATTACCGACCAGATCTAACATTCACCATAAAAGAGAGGGCATTAACTTACCTTATAGATGTCGGGATTCCTAACACCCATAATCTGCAGTCTACATGGAGTAAGAAGTTAAATAAATATACCGCACCAGCTGAACAAGTTAAGTTTATGGAAGCAAAACGAAGTGAATATCGTACCCATTATAATTTCATCAACGGGCGTAATACCAAAGGCTCTCCACCATAGTTTAAAAAAGTTAGATCTTCCACCGTTACTCTATATACAACTCCAGAAGACTGTCGTTCTTCAAACAGCAGCAATAGTAAGACGACACCTCAATCTTTAATAAACCAATAGAGTGTTAGAAACTTGCATCACCGCCATTTCTTACATATTATACCGTACAAAAATACGTGCGCAAACGAATAATAATAATAATAATAATAGCTCCCGTATATAGCGTTTAACGCCTTGGGAGTAGCAAGGTACAGATTTCCATACTTTTTAGTTTTTAAATATTTTTAACTCATTATCTTCAGTATAGTTTTCAAGAAACTTCTGATGTCTATGGAGCCAGGAACACATTCTGTCCATAAATGTAAATTATTATTTACTAATTTTTGTTAATTTTCCAGAAGAAAAAAACACAGAAACTAGAAAATGTGACAGCCTTAGCAGTATCGCAATCAATGAACCAAAACAGTACTTTACTAAGATTCTATCAGGACTATTGCATCAAAGGCCATCCAAAAGTTGCACCAACACCGGAACCATCAATCCACTGAAAACATTGGTATATAACAGAACCATAAAATGGGACCAGAAAGAAAGTAACCACGAAGATATTTCTATTTATGGTAAATAATTATTACAAAACGTTCCAAGAGCTTTCAATGTTTTATAATGCTTGCCACTATTTTCTGAAGTTACAATGTTTATTAACTCCAAAAAAATCCTTTATGGGTATTTCGCTACTGCACTTTTTTAACAGAACGTCAACGGTTTCTTATAGACGTATCTGTTAAGTTATCGTCTTTAAAAAAGTAAAGTTTTCTCAAATAGTTGAATTTAAATATTTTAAATAGTTTTTTTCTTTATTCTTTGTATTTTTTTGCTTCCGACGCCGGAAAGAGATAAACTTTCCGTAACGTTAAGCATTTTTTTCTTTGTTAGGCAAATTTGTATAACTTGTAAACATAACTTCTGACAAGCAGTGTCCGTTTAGGTTTAACGCAGAAGTGTTTACAAAAAATAACTATTTTATTTTGTAGATTTTCTTGCAGTGCAGTGGCGAAATACCCATAAAGGATTTTTTTGGAGAGATGAATCCGCCACATAGGTATGAACATTTTTTTAATGTTTATTAATTTGTAATTTTATATTTAGATGACCAGATGCGTCATATTTATGATTTGTGGAAGCATGTGTCTTTGGTAACCTCCAGGAATATGGCCGTGGCACAACTAGAGCTTCTCTATGACGTCATATCAGCCTGCATTAACATTCATTGGAATTCCTTCGATTCGTTAACAAAGGTAGAAAATATTCATCAATTAGTATAATTTGCATTTCATTCAAAAAGGAAATAATTGTCTTTAAATCTTTAAACACCATTTTAGATGCAAACTTTCAAAAGCACCAATTTTTATACACCGAGTGCGTCTCAAAAGTGGCTCACCCCTATAACTTTTTTATCTTTTCAGTTAAAAAAACGAGATTTGGTATGTTAGTATATGGCATAAATTAGGATTGATTGACGTATTCAATTATTGTTTTCGGTAACTTTCCGTTTCAGAGGAAATTACTACAACTTTTTATTTTTAAATGGCACCCTCGGTATTTTTTATTTTATTCGATAGAAAATAACACTCTGAATAGAATAACACATCATATGTCAACTTTTGACATTTTCGCTTATGGTTTATTTGAAATTATAACTTGCGGTTCGTAACGAAAATTTGACTCGAAATACTAAGTGTGTGGTATCAAATTATTCGTAAAAAAATGCTTTTTCCGAATATGCTAATGAGCCACCCTCGTTTTATTTGAAAAATTTGAGATATGATTAAAAATACGATTTGGAAATCTTTTAACTGGCCAGAACAAGACACTAAAAACATTAGACGATCAAATCTATTTTTCCAAGGCTCCTTGATTAAGAATTAATGTTTTTAACATAGCCATAGCACTCTAGATTGAAATTTAAAATACGATTTTTTATTAAGCGAGAATGTCAAAAATTGACATATGATATGTCATTCTATTCAGAATTTCATATTCTATCGAATAAAAATAAATACCGATGGTCCAATTTAAAATCAAAGTAGTAGTCACTTCCGGTGAAACAGGAAGTGACCAAAAACAATTAAATACGTCAATCAATCCTATTTTATGTTATATACTAACATACCGAATCTCGTTTTTTTATCTAAAAAAATAAAAAAGTTATAGGGGTGAGCCACTTTTGAGACGCACCCGGTATACAGTTTATACCAAAATACCGTAATTAAGCCTGACCGGCACAGCGTTGCTCGCTTTTATATATTTTCTTTTAATCAAAATATTTTAGGAAACAAAAATAATTTAATTATAAATATATAAACAGTTATTACATATTTTGATCAAAAAAACGCACCTTCTTAATAGCACTTATGGGACATAAAGGACCATTACTACCTCTTTCCTATTCAAAATATTCTAATAAAGTTGCGATAAGTTTTTTACGGCTATTAAGCTATCTTGTACACTTAGAAAATATTAGTAATATAGAGGTTCTAAAAAGAAAATTGTTCGACTGCAAGGTCTGCTAGTAGACATTTTTAAGCTTAAAGTATCACAACACTATTTATTCAAACCAAAAACTCGTAATACAAAACTAAAATGTCAAAACGTATGACAATGTCAGGAAATAAATAAATGAATGTGGCAACTTGACATTTTTTACAGCAGAGCTACCCCCGGAATCCCCAGCGCGAAATTTAAATTCCAGTTAGTCAACCCGCCGCCTAATATGTCCATGGTTGGCAACAATGAATTTAAAAATCGTGCCCTCGATTACGTAACTAAAAGTTTAATTAATATCAAATATAGAGTTATTTGTCTCTAATTTAAAGCCTTACATTAAAGTAAGTAATTTGTTCTAAAAATGTATTATCTATTTTTTTCAGAACTTGGAAATAATCTTGACAAACATTGAAAATTCATATTCCACGGACAGTGCAAGTGAAGCGTACACGTAATATTACATAATGGGATTGTGATTTAGATAAAATAAAAGTTTCAGGAAAAAAACGTTAATTATTTTATATTTTATAGAGATTGTGTTCAAACATTTTACTAATATACTGTGACCAATAATAATGAATTATATGTAGGTGCATGCTGCAAATAACCACCAAACCAAATCATATTATGAACATAGCAGATTTTGCTTTTACTATGATATTAATAACATATGTGTACCGGGTATTTCTGAAAAGTGGCTCACGTGCTCAGATTTAAACGAGATTTGGTATGTTAGTAGGTATATAACAAATTAATCAGGATTGATTGACGTATTCAATTGTTTTACCTGTTACTTCCTGTTTCACCGGAAATGACTACAACTTTTGATTTTTAGATTACACCCTCTGTATTTTTTTACTTTTATTCGAGACAAAATGTCAATCTGAATAGAATGACATATCATATGTCAACGTTTCACATTTGCGTATATGGTTTATTTGAAATTGTAACATACGGGTCATAATTACAATTTGACTCAAAGTGTGTGGTACCAAATGGTGGAAAAATGCTTTTTCCAAATGTGCTAATGAGCCACCCGCGTTCCATTTGAAAAAATTGAGATATGATTAAAAATACGATTTGAGCATCTTTTAACCGGCCAGGACAAGACACGAAAAACATTAGACTATCAAATCTATTTTTTCAAGGCATGGAGGGTAGAAGTAAGGAGAAATATCTTCCTGTATTGAAAAGGGGCCATAAAAGAGTGAATCAGAGCGCTATCTTAAGGGCGCTGCTGTTTTTAAGCTAAAATTTCTACATTTGAAAGAAGCGCTAAAATTTTTTATAACAGTAAGTATATAATTAAAAAGAAATAGATAAATATGCGATTTCTGAAGGCGCGTGTTGCCTCTCTTTTTGACTAACTTTTATAAGAATATATAAACAAGGCTTTTATTTATTACCGCTATGTTCAGTTCACTATATTATTGCTTGTTAGCGCTACTGTGATCATTTAGTGATCCCTTATTCTTCCCATTTTCGTGACTATTTTCGCTTTTTCAGATAAACTCCCTAAAGAGATGTTTCTCCCTACCTCTACTCTCCATACACTCTAGATTGGAATTTTTAATAATGTAAATACGATTTTTTTAAGCGAAAATGTCAAAAGTTGGCATTCTATTCAGAGTGTCATTTTATATCGAATAAAGTAAAAAAATACTAAGGGTGCCATTTAAAAATCAAAAGTTCATTTCCGGTGAAACAGAAAGTGACCGAAAACAATTGAATACGCCAATCAATCCTATTTTATGTCATATATTAACATAACAAATCTCGTTTCTTTATCTGAAGTAGTTTTATACAGGTACGGACGAAACGTTATTACTCTTCAAACCAGTTATAAAATATGTAGGTGGCGCCCGAACCAAACCATTTTTCATCCAAATATTGACGTTACTTTAGAAATTATTTGGAAAAAATTAAAATGAAACTTCTACACCCTGTATCTTCGAAATGAAGTATTTTAGGACATACATTTACACGAACTTTTTTATTTATTTTTAACTGCAGAGTATGCTGCCGAAGTTTCCGGAATACAGTTCGGACCACCCTGTATTTGAGACAACTACACACAAATACACAGCTCGGGATCTCTAGTACCAGAAATCAACAGAAGAATTAATTTAGCATGAAGTACTTATGGAAGAGTCAATCATATTCAAATCCAGAATGCAATCCAGATGTTTTTCTTTAGATAGAGATCTAAATAAAAAACATATAATCAATGTGTACCACCAGACACATGACCTATGCATGCAAAACCTGGGCACTTAAAACTGGCATCATAAGGAAGCTGCAGGTCGCACAATGCTCAATGGAACTAAATATGCCGAGAATAACCAAAAGAGACCGTAAAAGAATAGAGGGGATACAACAAAAGACCCAGGTAATAGTTTCCACAGACTCAAATCCCTCAAATGGCAATGGGCAGGACACCTGGCAGCGAATTTCCATTCCCTATACATATTGGTGACCGGAGGCATGAATTCGTATAGGAAACGTAACGCGTAATGATGCACTACAAACACTATACGATTCCATGACCTACCTACTCGCCGACTCTCGGAATTTCGAGTACTTTTGCCATGTTGCATCAGTGCGTCATGCGCGAGTGCGGTTAAAAAATAGCAGACGGCAATGGCAGTGTGTTTACATCGTTTGATAAATCCTATCGCGTTATCGGAGAATCCGTTAACAAGGAAAAAATTCAGCACTGAGTTATACGCAAATGATGCTGCAAAATGGATTAAAGACTATTCAAAAGTCTCGAAAACAAACTGGGATGTGTTGTTATGTTTACGGCGAGTACAGCTGTTCATATAGATGTTGAAGTAGAAACTGACAGCGTCAAATCTGATTCTTTATCATTTTCCCTTGCAGTTCCAAACTCCAGCAGAAACCGACCCTGGTCCCACAGAAGAATGTGCCAAGCAGATCGCTAGATTGTCTTCCAATTTCAACGCATTAATCAACATGACAAAATTAAATTATAATAACCACTTAGAGAAGATTGTCAAAAAAATCAACGAGACTGTAGAGCAAATCCAAAACCCTTCTCAGTTAGTAGAATTTTTTGAAATATGTCAGACCAAAAGTCTTCGTAAGGGAAAGAAAATTAAAGTACAACCAACCACGATTTCCCGTAGGAAAACCAAATATAAAGGATCGACTTCTCTGCAGTCTGGAAGGCCAGTTATGAAAAAAAGAGTATGAAAAGACGAAGAAACCTTATCGATAATATATTGCAAAATCAACCAAATGCAAAATCGCATTAAATATTCGTATCCACTTATATACATATAATGTTAATTTTAATAAATAAAATCTATTTGTCATCTACTCGTAATTATTTAAATGACGAATAAGTTTACGCGCAGAAAATTAAGGTCTGCCTTTCGTTAAAAGATCACCAAATCGGTTAGGCTTGATAATCCTAACGCGTTACGTTTCCTATACGAATTCATGCCTCCGGTCACCAATATGTATAGGGAACGGAAATTCGCCACCTAGCAAGAAGAACGTACATTAGATGGACCACAAAAATTACAGCATGGTACCCACGAGGAATTAAGAGACCTAAAAAAAGACCGAACCTGAGATGGAACCATGATATTAGGAAATTAGCAGGGATAACTTAGGCCCGCATGGCCAACATTGGCAACAGTGGGCCTAACTACAAAGAGAGTATATGAGGGAGGCTACACATTTAGGCATTACATTTATTAATGTATTTTATATTTTATAGAGGTTGTATTGAAACATTTTGAGTTCCTATAGGTAATTTGTTGCTGCATGGGATTTAAGATATCTTAATTAAATTACAAATATTTAAAATAAATAATAATATTAAAAGGTAACAAGTAACAACAACTATTGTCGACGATGAAGAATAAAGAACGACGTTTCTATTCATTAAAAATTCTTCTTAATCTGGATCAAATATGACTTATGGCTTAGGCATTAAGTTTTATTACGTAATTTTTATGAAATCTATTTATGGAGATACGGCATACATATTTTCTACTGTCCCAAATTAGACACATACTGTACATTACATTCGTTAGATTTTAATGACAAAAAAGTATGTGAATGATTATTCAAATCTGCGAATAGCATTACCAAATAAATATCTATTGCATTTAATCATCAAATTTTCTTTATGTGTGTCGACGACACAGCTTTCAGTCGTGATCTCCTCGATTTCTGGATAGGTACCCATACCCATCTGCTCTGCAAAATTGGAGACACTTATGCAGTGGCTTTATTTTTTATAAGTATTAGTTAATCATATAATAAAACACATGTGTTCATAACCAGTTGCTTATATAAAATATTCGATTTTTTATTAAATTATGTTGATATTTGATAAACGGTAAGTTATAATCATTTATTTGTCCATTATACTTAAAACATATTATTTGATCCTTATCATTTAGATTTTTATATTTTATAATTTTTCTCATTATTTGCCATGTTGCATCAGTGCGTCATGCGCGAGTGCGGTTAAAAAATAGCGGACGGCAATGGTAGTGTGTTTACATCATTTGATAAATCCTGTCGCGTTATCGGAGAATCCGTTAACAAGGACAAAATTCAGCACTGAGTTATACGCAAATGATGCTGCAAAATGGATTAAAGACTATTCAAAAGTCTCGAAAACAAACTGGGTTGTGTTGTTATGTTTACGGCGAGTACAGCTGTTCATATAGATATTGAAGTAGAAACTGACAGCGTCAAATCTGATTCTTTATCATGTTCCCTTGCAGTTCCAAACTCCAGCAGAAACCGACCCTGGTTCCACAGAGGAATGTGCCAAGCAGATCGCTAGATTGTCTTCCAATTTCAACGCATTATTCAACATGACAAAATTGAATTATAATAACCACCTAGAGAAGATTGTCAAAAAAATCAACGAGACTGTAGAGCAAGTCCAAAACCCTTCTCAGTTAGTAGAATTTTTTGAAATATATCAGACCAAAAGTCTTCGTAAGGGAAAGAACATTAAAGTACAACCAACCACGATTTCCCGTAGGAAAACCAAATATAAAGGATCAACTTCTCTGCAGTCTGGAAGGCCAGTTATGAAAAAAAGAGTATGAAAAGACGAAGAATTTGGTTGATTTTGCAATATGTTGTCGATAAGGTGATAACATATTGCAAAATCAACCAAATGCAAAATCGCATTAAATATTCGTATCAACTTATATGCATATAATGTTAATTTTAATAAATAAAATCTATTTGTCATCTACTCGTAATTATTTAAATGACGAATAAGTTTACGCGCAGAAAATTAAGGTGTGCCTTTCGTTAAAAGATCACCAAATCGGTTAGGCTTGATAATCCTAACGCGTTACGTTTCCTATACGAATTCATGCCTCCGGTCACCAATATGTATAGGGAATGGAAATTCGCCATCTAGCAAGAAGAACGGACATTAGATGGACCACAAAAATTACAGCATGGTACCCACGAAGAATTAAGAGACCTAAAAAAATACCGAACCTGAGATGGAACCATAGTAGGAGATATTAGCCGATTGGGCTCCTCCACATGCGCAGTTCGCTTGACCTTGACATATGTGGCTTTCAAACCTCCTTGAGTGATTCCAGAAAGAACCTTGTTGTGAGACCTTAAACGACCTTTAAGGTTGACTTTCAGATGTATTTGAAATGTTATAGAGGTTGTATTGAAACATTTTGAGTTCCTATAGGTAATTTGTTGCTGCATGGGATTTAAGATATCTTAATTAAATTACAAATATTTAAAATAAATAATAATATTAAAAGGTAACAAGTAACAACAACTATTGTCGACGATGAAGAATAAAGAACGACGTTTCTATTCATTAAAAATTCTTCTTAATCTGGATCAAATATGACTTATGGCTTAGGCATTAAGTTTTATTACGTAATTTTTATGAAATCTATTTATGGAGATACGGCATACATATTTTCTACTGTCCCAAATTAGACACATACTGTACATTACATTCGTTAGATTTTAATGACAAAAAAGTATGTGAATGATTATTCAAATCTGCGAATAGCATTACCAAATAAATATCTATTGCATTTAATCATCAAATTTTCTTTATGTGTGTCGACGACACAGCTTTCAGTCGTGATCTCCTCGATTTCTGGATAGGTACCCATACCCATCTGCTCTGCAAAATTGGAGACACTTATGCAGTAGCTTTATTTTTTATAAGTATTAGTTAACCATATAATAAAACACATGTGTTCATAACCAGTTGCTTATATAAAATATTCGATTTTTTATTAAATTATGTTGATATTTGATAAACGGTAAGTTATAATCATTTATTTGTCCATTATACTTAAAACATATTATTTGATCCTTATCATTTAGATTTTTATATTTTATAATTTTTCTCATTATTTAATTGAAATTTTCATATGGATATTGGCATAGACTTTTAAGTTTATTTCATGTTATCTCTTATTAATTTTTTATTGATTTTATTGAGAGTGTACAAATTAAAAAGAAGTTATGTCAGGACTTTAATACAGATTATTATTGTTATTCTTACAAAGTGGATTCAAAAATAATGGTGGAGGGTCTTAGTTGCTAGCTGGGGATTTACTCAAGAATTGTAGCAAAGAATATTTTAATATCCATGATATTCTTCGGTCGTAAGGACCTATTGTAATAATTGTGAAAACTAGATGCTAAAAAGAAAAAAGCTTATATGATATATAGGATGTACCAATATTCCATGAACATAGAGTTACTACGTATTTTTGGAATTAAAATAAATTCATTGGGCATATTTTACCTCTATACAAAAGTGCTTCGTTTGTCCGCTAGAGGGCATCAAACTTTAAAAAAATAAACACATTTTTTTCAGATATTTTAAGAACCATTATTCCGATTTGAATGAGATTTTGGGTGACTGTGTTCAACTCAAAAGTTTCTCTCTTCCCATCCTTTTTATTGCTCAATATTACAGTGAGGTGTTTCTCAAAGTTGTAAATTCTTGGTATGTCATCCACTGGGAGTTGGAGGAATTATATTTCCTATTTGAGGGTGTTCCAAGCGCCTGACCTGAAAACTCTCCTAGCACTGAATCCCTCAATGACTATTCTAATCATTGTCGCATTTGCATAACTACCGACGACAATGTGCAGTGGTGTTAGGTCTAGGTCTAGGATGACCTCCATTGATGCTGTTGGGCATGTTCTCATAGCATCTATGATGCAGATGCATGCCAGTCTCTGTACTTTATACAGGTTTTGCCTTGCTGTACGTTGCTCTAGTTTTGTGTACCAAGCAACTGTTCCATAGGTAATCATGGTATACACCCACGGCAAAATATTAGGTGCGCATCCCCATCTATTTCCCGCCAGTGTTCTGCATATCTTTAGAGCCGTTGTGGCTTTGCTGGTAATGTGTTTAATATGCTTGTTCCCGAGAAGTTTACTGTCCCGGGCTATGTATACTTATTACTAAAAGGCCTTTTTGGAATAAATTTACTACAAAATTAATTAATGCCGGAAATCAGCTCATATTTGACTTCTTGTGATGGCAATATTTCCTTTCCATCTAGATGTATCCTTTTTAAGTTTTTCAGACTTCTGTGAGTCAATTTTCTGGTGAATAGCACTAACGCAATTTTTGTCTGTTTATATGCTCAGCCCGACAGTCTTGCACCAACTCTCAGCAATACGTCGACTTTGTCGTTTGTTTTTTTGAGTCCTTTTTGAATAATTACACAAGGTGCCTTCATGTTTCTCCCGAGCGATCATGACTATGTCATCTGCATACCCTATGCAATGTATTTCCACTTATTTAGAGTAAACTAATTGTTTTTCTAGCATTTTCGCATTTATTACCAGCTTGTCAAAAGTAATTGGGGTAGATCAATATTTGATTTAGTTGTTTCAGTAGCGTATCTGTAATTTTGTTATTAAAAACATTCATTTCTAATAAAAATAAGTTATATATTACTTATTTTTATTAGAAATGAATGTTTTTTTTTTAATTTTAACTAAACATTTACTGACTCAAACGTAAAACAACCAGCAAATTATCGAGTCTACCCTAATACTATATTATCACGTTTTAAATAAAATTAGGACGCCACTGATACTTAACTTAGTCATTTTAAAGCCCCATTTTCAGAACTATGTTCTGTCACTTGCTAAACTGGTTGACACATCAAAAAACCAATGTGAATTGTTTAAATTTAAAATTGATAGCTGTTTGAATTTTCTACAAATCTCATTAGTTCTTTTGACGTGTCTTAGCACTTACAATATATCATTGTTCAACAAAATACAGATTTTATTAAGTACTAGTTGAAGCCTGGCGCATTCGCCATGACATCAGGAAAAAAAATACTTTTTATTTTTTGTTTAATTAAATGAAAAACAAAAAATCCGACGACGACAGTTTTTAGAAAAAATAACTTTCTAGAGCAAGTCGTTACTTCAGTAGAGACGACACAGATAAACATTAGCATTTTATATATGTAGATATTGCATTAATTAACTGATCTGATAAATTAATCTTTAAAAAATATTAGTTTCAATTTTTTCTCGCATGGTATCAGAAAATTATTAATATATTTTCAACTTTTTCAGATGTTTAATAAAGTTCACATGCTTATTTTTAATGTTTATTATACAAGGAATATATTCCCGTAAGTATACTTATTTTTGTTTTTTTTACGTTTATATTTTAATACAAATTCATGTAGGCACATATTTTCTTTACATTGATTTTTTTATTATAAATAATGATTAAATATATTTTTCAAAGATATATGTAGTAACAAAGTTCTACATAAGTATACCTATCATATTACAGTATATTCCCGGATTGTCTTTACAAGAGGAAAAACTTTTTTATTATTGACATTTTCAGAAAAATGCATTATTCATAAAAATGTATGCTTGTTCTAAAATGGTTAGGCTCGTTTATATGTTTTCAAATTTCCATAAAACATTAAAAAAAACGTGAAAATATAGATGAAATTTCAAATCAAAACCATTAAGCCGGTAATATCATTCCGATGTTATTCTTTGATAGATTGTTATTGATAGAATTTTAATTAATATCGTATTTTTTCTGTTTTAAAATGATAAAGAAGCGCAAAATTTATTTAGTTTGGGGTGATAATATCAGAAAATGTGATAGTTTAACATCAGCAAAAAAATATGACGTTAATTAAATAACTATAATAAGAACCATGAATCAAAGAATGAAATCGAAATGATATTACCATAAAAACGCCTTTTGATTTTTAGAATGTTGTAGGAAAATTTTCAACCCTATTTTCATGTTTTCTTAAAATTTCTCTAAAAAGGTATAGAGATTTGAAAAAGTATAAACGAGATTAGCCATTTTAGAACAAGCAAAAATTTTTACGAAAAAAGCATTTTCCTCTAAATGTCAATAATAAAAAAGTTTTTCTCTTGTAAAGTTACGACAATCCGGGGATATACTGTATATTATATATTTTTATTAATATATTCTTTGTTATATTTCTCAAAAAGAAATCGATGACGAAACATCTGGACCCTGTGCAGATTTTAGAATAGGTGATGATGACTTGCAAGCATACGATTTCATTAGGCAATTCCATTTGGATGCGTTACAAAGTCAGTTTTCTGGAGTCAGCAGTGTCAGGGGTTCCAGTTCACTTCAGACTGCCTATCGTATTGAAAAAACAGCTGATCTTACTGTTCCAACCAGGTAAATATAATTGACACATAATAGGTCATTTATACAGGGTGTCCCAGGCTGAGCGTGCACTAGAAGTTTCCAGAGAACTACAACAGCGGGATTGGAGATTTTTTGCACATCATTGTTTCACAACGAGATCTATCGATTAAACATATTTTCAATATGGCGGCGCTTCCGGAAATACCGTAGTATATTAATGGGTATCCCCGTTTTTTATTACATACTTAAATTCTCTGTAAAATTTTAATGGTTTTGATATCAAACATTCTATACTTAACATTAACCGTTTTTGAAAAAAAAATATTAAAAATTTTTGGAGGAAAAAAACTACCTGTTAAGAAAATTGTATAGCCTAAACGTCAAATTGAGTGGTGACCAGAGCCACTGTCACATTAAGAGAAGACATCTGGCTATCTATATCAAAATTTACATTCTTGATTGTCGTATAATATTGGCCGTAGCTGTCATGCAATTTAGAGATTAAAAATTGGCGCCGGGAGGCACGTATAGCCGCCCATACTAAAATATGTTAATATCTCGAAAACTGTGACTTTGACTGATTTTGATGTTATTACAAATTTTATAGCAAATTTTGTTGCAAATATTATTCCTAATCTTAATTTGAAAACCGCGTTTCGCTAGCTACTGTAATTTTGGAGTTACGATTTTTTGAAATTTTTAACCCACTCCCATAAACCCTTTTAATTCACTCCCCCCTCTTTTTAACCCACTCCCCCCTCGTATTTTAGTGATATCTAATACCGTATGATCGAAAAAGAACGGCGTCCAGTTGGCTTGGAAATGACGATCGATGACATTTCCCATATAATTTTACATATACAATGACAGCGATCTTCATTTCATAGCCATCGTTGACGCCGTTTTTATTCGATCATACGGTAGTTGATATTAGTATAGTTGATAATATAATATACCATCTGATCAAAAATGGTGCAAAGTTGGCTTGGAAGTGACGATCGATGACATACTAATTTTTTAACAAAGTGTCGCAGTATGACATGGCCAGATATATTGTTTTATATCGCTTGACGTTTAAAGTCATAGGCTACTGGATAAAAACCAGAAAAATATACACTTTAAAACTTAAACTTAAATAGCTTAAAAACGATTTATTTTGGATATTATTATAGGAACATGTATAATCAAAAAGTAACGAATTAAAAAACCTTTTCACTAGTGAAATAAAAAAGGTAGGTTTCCATTTGAAAAAAGTGATTTATGGTAATTTTTGCTACGGTTTGGTAAGTGATCTATGGTAAATGACAGCTACGGCCGATATTATATGACATTCAAACAATGTCTTCCTTTTATGTCACAGTGGCGGTGGTAATCACTAAATTTGCAGTTAAGGTTATACAAATTTTTTTGCCAGGCAGTTCCTCCAAAAATTTTAAATATAATTTTTCTCAAAAATGGTTAGGTATAAAAGTATAAAGTGTTAAATATCAATATTTATAGAATTTTACAGAGAATTTAAGTATGTAATAAAAAATTTGGGTACCCATTTAAAATAAGAAAGGTCAGCCATAATGAAAAGGAAGTGCAGCCATATTGAAAATATTTTTAATCGATAGATTTCATTGTTAAACAATGATGTGGCAAAAAATCTCCGATCTAGACATTGTAGTTGCCTGGGACACCCTGTATTCTCTTTTTCTTAATTTTATCAAGTAGGAAAACTGAAAATGCATGTATATTTTTGTTTTATTTTGTGGCAGCTAGCTTTGTCATGAAACATTTTCATTATACCGTATGATCGAGAAGACAATAACGTCCAGTTGGATTGGAAATAACGGTCATGACATTCCCCATATAATTTTATATTTAAAATGACAGCTATCTTCATTTCATAGCCATCGCTGACGGCGTTTTCTTTTCAATCATATTGTACAAAATTTTCGGTAAAATGTTAAGAAGAATATTTATTCTTTTTCCATTAAAAATAATAAAAAAAAGTTTGCGCCCAACGTGGGGCTCGAACCCACGACCCTGAGATTAAGAGTCTCATGCTCTACCGACTGAGCTAGCCGGGCTTCATTCAACCAGTCCGTTTGCCTGTATTTCTATATAACAAGAATATATTATTTTTAGAAATATTTTTCCCTTTGGCTTACCAGATCAGTTTTCCTTTATTTCAACATTCCGGACACAAAAACTAATCAAAACATCTTGGCATATGGTTAAAGTGACAGATTTAGAACAAAAACCGCAATTCATAATTTCGTTAAATCCCAGAAGACAATGTATAGATTTTGAAATATTGAATTATAATGGTAGACTGCAGTTATTAAGATTCAATAATCCGAAGGTAAATATTTAAACCGTTAATATAAAGCGTTTTGAACAGCATTCCTTAAAACTTTCAACAAGGTCCTGTGGCGCAACGGATAACGCGTCTGACTACGGATCAGAAGATTCCAGGTTCGAATCCTGGCAGGATCGCTAACTTTTTTATTTTTTTTTTCGTAGATTTTTGATAGAAATTGGCATAAAATTCATTTTGGAGTTCACAGAGATAAAGTGAGTTTATTTGTTGACTGTAAACAACTGCACGAATTACCTTTGCAAGCGAGGGGACCCATTGATATCAATGGGAACGTTTCACTTTCAAAATTTACAAATTCCAGAGAAACATTTCCGGTAAGTATTGTTTTTATAAAAAATTATACTCTTTCTAGTAATAATAAATTAAAACACCAGGTGGAACATTAGTGCGAGGAAGTTCAATATCGTCGTCGTTGTCAAAGATATGAAAAAAAATTTAATACAGATGTTGCATGGTTTATAAAGGAGCATATCCTATCCTAAAAATACTTTGTTAAATAGAGGGTATGCAATTAAATATTTTTATATTATTTATATTTTTGTTTTTACAGGGTTGCGCACCTCACTTGCCTCGGTTGATTAGACGAAAACAGAAAGATGTAGAAACAAAATATTTTATGGGTATATGTGGGAAGGCAATGTGCATAATTTAAAATTATTTTGAAATGTACAGGGTGTGTCAGAACTAAGATCCATACCAAAGTTATATTTTTTCTTAAGGAACACACACACCTGGTATTTTATTGCATTTTTGAATTCTTGCATTTATTATAAGGGTATATTATGTTTAAAAGCTTTAGTTTTTGAAATATTTAAAGATATTTAAATATGCATGCTATATGCTATAATAAGGAAGTTTGTCAACACCTTATACAGCTGGTCTATTGTAAATATTTATTTTACATAAAAACTACGTTATTTAAATACAACACTATGTATTTTATTAAATAAGTCGAAGCAGATTAAAATGCTTTTTCAAACTATATTAGGGTTTCCTATACCTATCTGGCTCAGATTTTGAATAAAAAGCGATTTTTCAATAAAATTCTAATCAAAATGGCTGGTATCGCCATGGCAATTTTCTAGTGACACTTAGTAGCCATTTTCAAAATCGACATTAGTTTATGGACTTTATTTAAATTTATAACAGGTTATTTTTATTTAATTTACCTACAATAAGGTTAATAATAAGTAAGTATTTAATATTTTATCAAGAAAAATGAAGAAATATCTGCTGGCGGAAGGAATGGATATGTTACTTAATTTTGTGAGGACAATTGCTTGTTGGCCTGAATGGTTTATGCTCAAAGATATCCAAATATGTTTTTTTTGACAAGCGTTCCTTTGAAATTCTTATTTCTCAGAGTTGATAGTGTGGTATATGAAAAACCTATTAAAAAGAAACCTTTCGTTGGAAGTGAAGAAAATGAATTTGCCTTAATTGCCTACAAGTCATCGTAATATAAATCAAAGAACTACTTCTTTATTTTTCTTGATACAATAATAAATACTTGCCTACTTATTAAACGAGTTCTTAAACTACTGGTAAATTAAATAAAAGGTAAACTGTTATAAATTTAAATAGTCCACAAACAATTGTCGATTTTGAAAATAGCTACTAATTGTCATTAGCAAATTGCCATGCCGACACCAGCCATCTGACTATTGATTGACAATTTATTGAAAAATCGCTTTTTAATCAAAATCTGAGCCAGATAGGTATAGGAAACCCTCATAGAGTTTAAAAGAGCATTTAAATCTGCTTCGACTTACTTTAAAAAATACATAGTGTTGCATTTAAAATAACAAAGTTTTTAGGTAAAATAAATATTTAAAATATACCAGCAATTTCTGATACCCCTGTATACATGTAAGGAAACAATAAAGTTTGTTAGTAAACTTTATTTATCTGGCTAAGTCAGCCCAAGAATTAACTCTGAAAATTCAAGTACAGGGCGTTGACAAACTTTTTTATTGTAGCATGCACATTTAAATATCTTTAAATATCTCAAAAACCAAAGCCTTTAACATATTAAACCCTTGTAATAAATACCTTATTTTATGGCTAAGAATCCAAAAATGAAATAAAATACCGGATATTCCATAAGAAAAAATATAACTTTGGTAAAGATCTTAGTTCTGATACACCCTGTACATTTCAAAATAATTTTAAATTATGCACATTGCCTCTCTACATATATCCATAAAAATTTTTGATTCTACATCTTTTCGTTTTCGTATAATCAACCGAGGCGAATGAGGTGCGCCACCCTGTATATTGTCATAAAATAAACAAAAATATTGATTTTTTAAGTCTGCAACTAAATGAAAAATAATATACAGGGTGTTGCATTTAAAAAAAATAGAGATATAGCATTTTAAATATTCCGATTTTGGTGACTCCATAAAAGATACACTGTATAGCCACAGTATAGCATAATGTAAATTTTTCTTCTTGGGTTTATTCTGTTATTCTTGGTGTGCTTAGGAAATTAATGCAAAGTATTAATAAAGTGATATTCACTCCAATTTTTAACCACTTTTCGGATATAGTGAATTTATCCAAATTTTTAGTAAATAAATGAAATAGAATGGCACCATAAAAATGCTTCTTGGTCATTTTATATGTTATATGGGGAATAAATTGAAAAAGGGCACCTACTATATGCAGAATTTTATTCTGAATCCAACTCTTTATAGAAAAATGGGGGGTGTAATTTAAAAAACCTAACCTTTTATAATTTTTTTTGTGACGCCCTGTATTCAACAAAACATTTTTAGGATATGTATCATTATAAACCATGCAACATTTGTATTTTAACTTTTTTCATATATTCGAAAACAACGACGATATTGGACTTCCTCGCTCTAATGAGCCACCCTGTAGGTACATATCATTAATTTAATTAAATATACATTTAGATTGATTTACAATGGATATTGATGAGTTGTGACCCGACAAGACCCCAAAGAGAATCTTGCTCAGAGTTACTAGATGTAAGTTAATAATTTGACATACTGAATAAAGAAAAAAAATGATTATTATACCCTTTCAGTACACCATCAGTGCGAGACCTGTTCTGCCATTGGAAACTGGAGATCTGGTTTTACCAGAAAATAAAAATTGCGACCTCGTATGTCCCCGCGGACCTCCAGGATACAATGGAACTGATGTAAGTACTCCTTTATTAAGATTACTAGCGCGTACCCGCGACTTCGCGTCGAATTAATCATTTGTAATGGTGATGATAAAACAAAGCAAGAATTTCCATTAACATACAAACTGGATTAAATTTTCTCACATTTATGTCAGCATAAGAAAAAACCGAGGAAAAAACAATATGGTGATATTATTAAATTTTGGCAGTTACTAAATATGAAAGATAAAAATCATTTTCACCCCATTTCACCTCCTTAGAAAAATCCGTTTGCCAAAAATAAACATTTAACCTCAAGCAGTTTAAGCAGAATCGTGCATGGTTAATCAATTACCCAACTTTTTGGAACACCCTGTATGATTTTTTAAAAAATTTCAAAATATGTAAAAAAACAAAATAAATTATGCGTGTCCAAGCGTTTTCCCGAAAGACTAACCGTTTTTTAAATAACAAATATTGTAATATTTGAGAGGCGTTTTCACCCCCTTTGAATTTGAGATTAGAGAAACCCCTCCCTTATCGAACCTCTACACCCCACAGTCAATCCGTTTGTAAAAATCAGCTTTAAACGTCAAGCAGTTTAAGCAGAATCGTGATTACTCAATGGTCATATTTTATGAAACACCCTGTATAAATTTTTTAAAAAATCTTAAAATATGTAAAACAACAAAATAAAATATACGTGTTTAAGAGTTTTTCCGAAAACTCACCGGTTTTAAATAAAAAAATATTTTAATATTTGAGGGATAGTTCAGATAGTTTCCACCCTCCTTGGAATTTGAGTTTCGAAAATCCCTCTTATCGAACCTCTACACCCTAAAGTCAATCTGTTTTCTCCAAAAAATCAGCTTTTTACGTCAAGAGCTTTAAGCAGGATCGTGATTCGTGGTTAATCAATGACCAGCTTTTTCTGAAACACCCTGTATACATTTTTAAAAAAATCTTAAAATATGTAAAAACAAAATAAAATATACGTGTTTAAGCGTTTTTTCGGAAACTTGACTGTTTTTTAAATAAAAAAATATTGTAATATTTGAGGGGTGGTTTCCACCCTCTTGAACTGAAATTTCGAAAAATCCCTTCTTATCAAACCTCTACACCCTAGAATCAACCTGTATGCCAAAATTGAGCTTCTTACGTTGAGTGGTTTGAGCAGGATCGTGATTAATCAGTATGTCAGTCACTTAAGGATTTTATATATTAGTATAGATTGTATTGTTGCCAGTAATTAGTATGTAGAAAAATCCGTGGGTAGATACTGGAAAGACTCAAAGGAAACAATAATTATATTTTGTACGACGTGTTCGAATCGTGTGTTTTTCTAGTGTGAGCGAGTAGAGAGTCACCATGAATCACCATGAAAGTACTGCTTTTCCTGTAATGCCTGAAGAAACACAATAATAAAGTCGCGAAACGTCGCACAAAATTGAATTGTTTCTTTTGAGCCTTCCCAGTACCCACAGATTTTTCTATGTCTTTATATTTAATCCTAAATATATTTATCATAATCACAGCCTATTCACTACCAGCCAGCCAACTTATGGGCTTTTACGTTCAAATTCTTAATAGCTCCGGGACATTCGCTTTTATCACCGAGATATTTTTTATCCCGACTCTGAGCTCCAATGTAGTGATGGACAGAACAATCCTTATTAGTGATTCGAATCACACGATTCGACTTCTCTGTTGAAACAATGAGTCTCTAAACTAATGAGATATAATAGATATTGAAATTATTAAAACAACACTTCTAAATTCTTTAAAAAAACATATACGCCACTGACTTTTTACTCCTCTTATCGAAATTATGCAGACCGTTTAATGCCGATTAAAAATTGTCTCTTGATATTTTGTCGATTTCGGACTTCTTGATGAGATAAACGCAAATTAATTAATTTGCCTTAATTCAAATTTAATAGCAACCTTTAAAAATTTTGACTGGCCAAAGTGTTATACCGTGACTGTATGATCGAAAAAAAACGGCGTCAGCGATGGCTATGAAACGAATATCGCTGTCTTTTTATATGTAAGATTATATGGGATTATAAGAGTGGTCCCAACTGTATTCCGGAAACTTCGACGGCATATTCTGCAGATTAAAATAAGTAAAAAAGTCCGTATAAATGTATGTCCGGAAATGCTTAGTTTCGGAGATACAGGGTGTAGAAGTTTCATTTTTATTTCGATTTTTTTTCAAATAATTTATGAAGTAACATCAATATTTGGATGAAAATTGGTATCTGGGAGTTTTTTGACATGAGAAATTTGATTTTTATTTCAATATGACTCCTGTTTGTATTCATATTTCGCAGAAAAAAATAATGATTAATTTAAAAAAATTAAAATTTATTATTTCAATCAAATAACTATACTCAACGTGTAGATGATAGTCAATAATGACATGTATTGACTATTTCCATTCTAAATATCTTGAGAACGGTTGCTCGTAGCGATTTTTACCAAAAGACATTTTTTACGGAAAAAGTCATGAAAATGTATATTTTTTTAGTCATTAGTTTTATACAGGTACAGACAAAAAGTTGTTACCCTTCAAAACAATCAAAACGCATCACCTACAATGCGCCCCCTATAAATAGGAGTCATTTTGACATCAAAATCAAATTTCTCGTGTCACAAAACTCCCAGACGCCAATTTTTATCCAAACATTGACGTTACTTCAGAAATTATTTAGAAAAAATCGAAATAAAAATGAAACTTCTACACCCTGTATCTCCGAAACAAAGTATTTTAAGACATACATTTATACCAATTTTTTACTTATTTTTATCAACAGAATATGCTCTCGAAGTTTCCGGAATACAGTTCGGACCACCCTGTATACACTCATCGTTATTTCCATGCCAACTGGAGACCGTTTTTTTTTCAATCATACGGTAAAAGTACTCATTGTATCAAAAAATATCAAGAACGGTAAACTAATAAGATTGCTCATCCTCATAAGACGTACGTTCGCCTCTTCCCGCGCTTCAGCTGACAGTTGTGACGTCATTGTAGTCCTTGTCATGATAGTGTGTATTATTGGTTGTCTATGGTAAACTTATATAAATAACAGCTGAGAAATTTTGTGTTAATTATTTTGTCGATTTTAAATGTGAAAAAGATATTTTTAAAGTTTTTAGAGCTATAGAGTGTATAAATACTTTCATTTTGTGTTGTGGATTGTGACTAAGTGCTTACTAAGTGCCAACGATATTGTTTATTAATTATTTTAAGGCGAAATATGGAAGTACTCTAAAAAGAATGTCTGCAAAATGTGATGCTGGTAATTGCTGTTAAAATGCATTATCCGAGTATTTAATACGATTTATACATTACAGTTGAGGGTTGGAACCTTTGGTGTTACACAACAAAATAAAACACTAAATCACCACAATACACCAAAACACTTTTACTTTTACAGTGGACGCGCGTTTCGCTAACCATGTTAGCATCATCAGCAGATGATTATAAACTAAGTTTACAAACAGTTTATAATCACCACAATACACCAAAACACTTTTACTTTTACAGTGGACGCACGTTTCGCTAACCATGTTAACATCATCAGCAGACGATTATAAACTAAGTTTACAAACAGTTTATAATCATCCGCTGATGATGCTAACATGGTTAGCGAAACGCGCGTCCACTGTAAAAATAAAAGTGTTTTGGTGTATTGTAGTGATTTAGTGTTTTATTTTACGATTTATACAGTTAATTTTCTATACTGCATACATATGGGGTGTTTAAATAAATAAACTAAATAATGAATGTTTTGAATACGGCAACCAATAATACACACACTATCATGACAAGGACTACAATGACGTCACAAAGCGAGAAGTTTTCGCATGCACCTGGCAGACACTTTCCGCTGAATGAGCAGTCCTAATAGGTTAACGGTTCTTGAAAAAATATAAAGAAAAGTTCCTATAAAGACGGGTGCTAAAATGCATACAAGTTATTACAGGATGTTAAAACATTAAAACTTATATAGGTATTTTGTGATAATCTTAAATACATACCATTATTTTTTTTATCTGTAGGTAGCACTGAACATCACTGTTATAAATTTTAATAACACGTTTAATAATAAATATTAGAAAAGAAACAATTTATTAATTTTATTTTTATTTTAATTTTATGTTTTAGTTGTGATTAATAAAATTGCGTTTATTATCAAGAAGGCCGAAATCGACAAAATACCAAGAGACAACTTTTAGCAAAATAAAAACACTAAATCACCACAATACACCAAAACACTTTTACTTTTACACTGGACGCGCGTTTCGCTAACCATGTTAGCATCATCAGCAGATGATTATAAAATGACTATAAACTAGACAACTTTTAGTCGGCATTAAGTAGTGTCCTCTATAAAGAGAAAAAAGTCAGTGGCGGACATGTTTTTTTAGAAAAATATTCTTGTGAGAACCCATATGCACGTCCCTGGTGAATCTGTCCACACTTTTTTATTACTAAAATATGTAGCACTCGCGTGAACAATGCGTTCAGTCTTTGCCTACATCTACTCCACTTTGGCTTACGAAGCGTGGCGCAAAAAATGGTCGTCTGATGTTTTCTTTACTCTAAATGATGCGAAGTTGGATAGCTGGATACTTAATAAGCTGTAGTAACATCTACTGTTTTACTAAAATTTATTCTTTAATTTAGGGTTTTCCAGGAGAGAGAGGTTATCCTGGAGAACAGGGATTTCCAGGGCCACCAGGTCCTAGGGGAGAAAGAGGAGAATTTGGACGACCAGGATATCCAGTAAGTTTATTTTCATATACAATAATATATATTACATACGTAATATAAACATACATTATGTACAAAAGTCGTTAGCACCAAAGAATAATCATTAATAAAAATAAGTTCTAGAGATATAATAAAATTAGATCAAAATTTACTACAATGAATATGTCCAGACTTTATTTTAAAAAATCTTTAGGGCTCTCCTGGATTGCAAGGGCTTCCGGGAATCAAGGGATCGCAGGGGCCAACTGGACTTGATGGAATCCCAGGACCGCCGGGTTTTGCAGGAGCTAAGGGAGAAAAGGTTATATTTTTTTGTAATTATATGTATACCGGGTACGTTTCAAAAGTGACTCACCTTTATAACTTTTTTATTTTTTTTTAGATAAAACAACGAGATTTGGTATGTTAGTATATGACATAAATTAGGATTGATTGACGTATTTAGTAGTAGTGGGAACTATCTTGTTTTAATGGATATGACCGAAACATTTGATAGTAATGCAACTCGGTATTTTGACTTAATCTGATAGCTAGTAATAAAACATTCGTTGAATGACATATCATCGAATAAAAATTTGAATATTTTCGTCATAGGCGGTCGCCTTGAAATTATAAATTGTATTCTAGTAACGGCAGCAAAACCATTCATTTATAAAATTCATTCATTTATCAAATTCATTTATTCGTCAGGATCGATTTTAATAAAAATATAAACTGGATTTTAGTTGTCGTCCGGCGACGTAGGTTTCTTTTTTCCTAAACTTAATAGTATCGGTGGCTCGAAATACCAAGTGTGTGGTATCAAATTATTCGTAAAAAAATGCTTTTTCCAAATATGCTAATGAACCACCCTCGTTCCATTTAAAAAAATTGAGATATAATTAAAAATACGATTTGAGCATTTTCTACCTGACCAGGACAAGACACTAAAAACATTAGACGATCAAGTCTATTTTTTCAAGGTACCTGGATCAAGAATTGTGTTTTTAACATAGCCAGGACATTAGCGTAACCAGCAATTCATCCTAGGGGGAGCCCAGGGGGGGCCTAGGGCTCCCCCTAGTTTTTTAAAAAATGAAGAATAATTAAAAAAACACATTTTTTGAATATCGTTTACATGAATTTCTCTAGCAATAAATTTCGTAGACTTGGTTATCAAACCGTGTTTCCGTAGATTACTTAAATACCTACAAATTTTCTAAAATGAAAAATTAACACATTTTCTGAACATAACAAAATAATATTAACTAAACAAAACTAGAAAACATCATTTTTACTAGCCAAGAGTCATAATTCAAGATTTCTCTGGGGGGTGCCCAGCAGTACCCAGGGGTTACGTAGTTACGCCAATGAGCAAGGGCACTCTAGATTGAATTTTAAAATACGATTTTTTATTAAGCTAGAATATCAAAAGTTGACATATGATATGTCATTCTATTCAGAATATCATTTTCTATGGAATGAAGTAAAAAAATACCGAGAGTGCCATTTAAAAATCAATAGTTGTAGTTATTTCCGGTGAAACAAGAAGTGGCCAAAAACTATTGATTACGCCAATTAATCCTAATTTATGTCATATACTAACATACCAAATCTCGTTTTTTTATCTGAAAAAATAAAAAAGTTATAGGGGTGAGCCACTTTTGAGACACACCCGGTATTATAGCCATTGTTTTACCATTTTCTTTAAAAATAAATATGGTTATTTCAGTGTCTGAATGTATTTCGTTAGGTACTATTTATAAGCATAACGGGTGGTATACATATGAATTAACAAATTATTATTTAGGGTGATGGAGGAACACAAGGACAAAAAGGCGATCAAGGTAGTATAGGACCGCGAGGATATGATGGAATACCAGGTATAGGAGGACCAAGGGGGCCACCTGGTGAAGTAATAGTTAGAAATGAGACAATAATCATCGAGGGAGCTCCAGGACCGGCAGGATTAAGAGGCCCACCGGTAAGAAACCGAAAAACTGTGTATTAAAAATAAGATAAAAATGAAAAAAGCTCCTAATTCGATCCAATTTCGAACGTAAAAATTAATCTCCTTAGATAACATTTTTCAAAATGTGTGATCATGTTGAAAAAATGTATAGCTATAAATTAATAAAAAATTATACCTATTATTGAGAACATGCAGAAAATATTCCTTCGTATTTATGTTCTCAAACTGTGTTAAAAATACTCGAAAAATATTAAGAAAGAATAGCTCCTTTACTACTCAAAGATTACTGTATACAGAGTGAGTCTTAAATAAGTGAAAATATTTTCAGAGCTGGCAGATCTCGGCAAAAGAAACATATGTCCTCTTTACCATTTTTCAAATAGGTCCAAAATAACCGAATTATTTTACATTAAAAAATTTAAACATTTTTTTGCTAGAATTTTGAGAACCACTGAATCTTTTCTGGATTTTCTTTCTTGTAATTTAATCTACTACATACTATTTTGCCAGATTATCAACAAATTATGTTTTTTAACTAAAACTGAAAACATTTCCAAAAGTTTCAATTTTTTTACGCGAAAAAAACTCATAATCGTGTTTCTGGGACCGAAATATACTACCCCTAAAAATATTTGCTCTTATTTAAGACTCACTCTGTATATGTACATAATCCCATATATGTATAATAGCGCATTCTAAGTTAAATAATACTTTTTTACCTTATTTGTGTCCCATAAAAAACATAAGTTGAGTCATTTTGAAAATGACACATCCCAGCGAAAAACTAATTACGCCCTAGTAGAGGAGGCTAGGGGGTGCTTAGCTCCCAACCTCAAAATTAGCTTAAAATTGGTTTTATCCTCAAATCAAGTTTATCACCTAAAGTGAGCTGAGCCCCTTCCCAAAAAAGAAAGACTTGAACCCCTCTAAAAGTCGGTGCCTGTTTGCGCTACTGTACTTTACTCCACTGTATTAAAAACTCCATAGGGGACGCAATATTTGACCTTTTCGATAAGTAATAAGATAACCAAAAAATACGAAGAGTATCGAAAAACGCAACATTTTCAAATTCACACTGTTTTAAGAGACCAATAAGGGGATTAGGACAAAAATATGTGTAACATCTTTAGTTTCATAAAAAAAAGTGGCACAGTGATGTGAAAATCGCTTCTTCATATCTCAACTCATAAACGAAAAACCATAAAACAAACGAAAAGGAAACACCCTGTATACGTACACTTAATAGTAAATTTTAATAATCTACTTTAAGTCGTATTTGTATATAATAATATACAATATATTTAAACTATATAAATTAATAAAATATTAATTAGATATCGTAGCGCATCTTTCTAAAAACTTTAGTGAATTAAGCCTTTTTTTCTATGACGTATCATATTTTTACGTCAGAGTTTTCTGGCCCTCTCTCGATGGTAATGATACCCAGTGGCGGCTCGTGGTCATTATTGTAGGGAGGTCAATATCTAAAAATATCGCGTCGATTTTTTTTAAGACGCGCCCTCGGACGCGCTCAAATTTAATTGTGTTCTTACAAGGTACTTGTACGTTTAGTTAAAAGAAAATAAATCTAAAAATAAATCTAAATTCTGCTAAAATGAAACCTACCCTTGCATTTTTAAACAGGTGGTCTAGTGCTATTTCACTAAAAATCCAGTCAATGTTCTTTACACAAATTTTCCACGGTAAGATTTAAAATACACATAAATAATGTCACAAAAATATAAATGCATATATACACATAAAACAATGAAGATGACATTATTGTGGGAAATAAAAACAACCAAACTAAAAAATCTTAGGCATAGCCCACACAGGAATACTATATATTAGGGAATGCATTCCCGAAAATGCTGGATCCCGCAAACGCGGGATCCCTCTGTGATTCCGCGGGATCAAAGTTGCGGGATTTACCGTGCGGGATCTGCGGGATCGACACCAGGGGATTCCCCTTACGGTTTGGCCATTAAAAATAAGTGAAACAAACAGGTTAATTGTTAGATTTCTTTCTGGCGTGCCTAAGTGAAGAAAAGCGTTTAACTAGTACTTGTGGACAATTACGTCAAATAAACTGCCTGACATAATTATCGGAACAAGCAAAATTTTAGGGTAAATTTAAAGTTGAATATCTCTTGAACGAAAAAAGATTTTGGGATGCGGTTTGGACCAGGTTTTAGATGCATCTATTGTGATTAAGATACTATGTGGTTTTCGAAAATATGAAAATATATTTAGTGAATTCTCGTATATAGGGTGTTTTATAAGAGTGAAAATTTGGTCAAGAATCTTTTTTACCGCAAATTTACAATTTTTAAAAAATCGAAATTTTTACCAAGTACGACTAATCTGTATTGAAATTAGAAAAAAACAATTTGATCGGTTTTTACGATGGTCCTAAATGGTACAAAAAGCTTTGTACATTCTGCATATGCCAAAAAATTATTGATATAGAGTGTATCTGAAAGCAGGTAACTAACACAAGTTAAAAAAACTTAAACATCAGAATAATATTTTTATTTATAAAATAAGTAGATAAATTATAATAAAATTTAAGTTTATTTAATATTAAATATATTTTTTGGACACCCTGTATACATCGGTTCAAATTTCTGTAGAGATAGTTTAAGATACACGCTATATCAATATATTGTGGGCCTATGCAAAATGTACAATGCCTTTTGTACCATTTAGGACAAAATGTATGACTATAAATGCATGTTTTTCGAAAAAAAATAGTATTTTCCTTAAAACAAATAATTTAAAAAAACACCAAATCGTTTTTTCTAATTTCAATAGAGATTAGTCGTACATAGTTAAAATTTCGATTTTTCAAAAATTGTAAATTTCGGTAAAAAAGATTCTTGACCAAATTTGTACACTATTATAAAACACCCTGTATACGAGAATTCGCTAAATATATTTTTGAAAACCACGTAGCATCTTAATCACAATAGATGCGTCTAAAACCTGATCCAAACCGCATCCCAAAATCGGAGAGACAAAAGAAGAGCATTTATTGTTTACAATCCCGCAATTTTGCGAATCCGCGGGATTGATTGCTTTAATCCCGCGGGTTTGCGGGATTGAGATTTTGGTGCCGGATTGCATTCCCTACTATATATGAACAAAACTACCCGCAGACCGCAGTTTCTGCCTTCTGGCTTCATCAGTGCGTTCATCCACTTGGTCCTCCCGCACTGATGAATACGGTAATGCACGATTTCACAAACTAAACACCATGTTGTCTATTTTAAAATATCTATTCCAGAATCAGTCAACGACGTTTCATCGCATTTATCCATAACCAGAAAATTATGAATTATATACCTACACAAATTTCGCGCTACACCTCAAACTAGATGGGATTTCTTTCGATATTAAAAAAATATTTAATAATTTTTTTTAATATACCAAACCAAACCAAACCAAAACATTATATGCGATAAACGATACAAAAACCTAGGTTGTTTTCGGGGAGGAAGGACAAAATGAAATTTTGACCGGCATCGCAGTAGAAAATGGGTAAAATAAAACGTTTTGAAGCGAAAATTGGAAAAATTGATGGTTTTTGGGAATAGTTTAGAATATCCTAGGATGAAAAAAAGTTATTTACAAAAAGCATAATTTAAATACGTTTTTTCTAATTTTCTTCTGATTTTTGGGGGGGGGGGCATTGACCATTTGACCTTATGGTTAAGCCGCCACTGACGATACCGTTAAACATCAAAGTAACCGTAATCTACAAAGATCTAATATTTGTTATGATATTTTAAATTATATTAGGGGCCTCCAGGTGAAGAGGGTCTCACAGGTTCAAGAGGACCAAGAGGAGAACGAGGACCACCCGGAATGGATGGTTTAATCGGGATTCAAGGTGTAAAAGGAGATAAAGGGGATACAGGACGGCCAGGTTTACCAGGAATAGAAGTAAAAATAAATAAATACAAATACCGTGTAATCAAAAAGTCTTATCATTGGCATTTCTAATTCCTTCTTTTTTAAGACTTTTTGGTTGTACGGTAGCATTATCTATATACTAAACAAAGGCGATTAGGGTCCTCCAGGAAAACCTGCATATCAGATGGAAGCAGGACTTAGTGCAGGCATTCTTGGATTGCCTGGACCTAAAGGACACCCTGGCCTTATTGGTCTCCCAGGAGAAAAGGGTAGTGTGGGAGATAAAGGAAGTCCAGGAGAAAGAGGCCTACCAGGTAAAAGAATATTTTACCAAAAAAAATAAACAAATCTTTTACCGTATATTATACACCACAATAAATTTCAGACAGTTATTTTAACACGAAATTAAAGTTTTTTATGGTAAATTTCTTAATAATTGCGGGTTTTCAAGTAATTTCAGAAAAAAACACAATGGTAGCAGAAACATTGAACTGTATGATATGTTACTCTTTTTAGGAGATATTGGTCCACAAGGCATACCAGGTTTCGATGGGTTGAGAGGACCACCAGGCAATGAGGGACCACCAGGATTGGACGGTCCTAGAGGTCCACCTGGATTCATTGGTCCTCCAGGGGCACCAGGTCCTGTAGGTCAATCTGGAGAGCAGGTATGTATAAGTAGAGAAAGTCCCGGTATTTTGGAACAGTACTTTCCAAATAAATTGCAAAAAATATAATAGATCTGTTCTGATAGACTATGCCATACAAACATTTCAAGTTAAATTAATTTAAAAGGATCTTTCACTTATGAAAAAAGTGCTTAAAATCAGCGTCCAAGCAGGAGCATATTATAGTTTTGACGTACAAGCTTCGCAAAGCACACTTCAACTCGCATTATGGTCAGACAAACTCATAACATGCGTCTACTGATCATAGGCTCGCGGGCGGCCTATGTGATTGATCAAACGGAACAACCGAATAAAATCACTAGGTTTTATGAATGCTGATAGAAGATTTGTTTGTCCTGATTAATCCTTTATTAATTTTCTAAAAAATGTGCATTGCAAAAGAATCTGAAAAGAGACTAAAGTTTATGCACTAACATTCTGCATTTCTATTATCTCTTTTCAATGACGAAGGCATGTGCAAATGTATTGAATCTTCTATGTAAGACAAGAGTTGATATGTTGAGTAAAATTCTGGAGATAGATAAATTTAAAAAAAAATACACGATGTATATCATTGACGGAGAATACTTATTAGTGCGTCGCAAATGTGGCTCACCCCTATAACTTTTTTATTTTTTCACATAAAAAACAAGATTTGGTATGTTAGTATATGATATAAAATAGGATTGATAGACGTATTCAATAATTGTTTCTGGTCACTTCCTCACTTTTGATTTTTAAATGGCACCTACGGTATTTTTTTTACTTTATTCGATAGAAAATGACACTCTGAATAGAATGACATATCATATGTCAACTTTTGACGTTTTCGCTTTAAAAAAATCGTATTTTAAATTTCAATCTAGAGTGCCATGGTTGTGTTAAAAACACTAATTTTTATTCAAGAAGCCTTGGAAAAATAGATTTGATCGTCTAATGTTTTTCTTGTCTTGTCCTGGCCAGTTAAAAGATGCACAAATCGGATTTTTTAGCATATCTCAATTTTTTCTAATGGAACGAGGGTGGCTCATTAGCATATTTGGAAAAAGCATTTTTTTACAAATAATTTGGTACAACACACTTGGTATTTCGAGTCAAATTATTGTTGTTACAATTTCAAATAAACCATATGAGAAAATGTCAAAAGTTGACATATGATATGTAGTTCTATCCAGAGTGTCCATTTTCTATCAAATAAAGTAAAAAAATACCAAGGGTGTCATTTAAAAATCAAATGTTGTGGTAATTTCCGGTGAAACAGGAAGTGACTAAAAACAATAATTGAATACGTCAATCAGTCCCAATTTATGTCATATACTAACATGCCAAATATCGTTTTTTATCTGAAAAAATAAAAAAGTTATAGGGGTGAGCCACTAGTCTGTCCAAAGACAGGATCCCTTCCAATTGTGTCTGTCATTTTAATTCACAAACAAATTATATTTTCTGTCATATTTCTACTGTCATCTGTCGAATTCTTCCCTGGTTCTTCAAACATACTATACCTCCATTTTTATTAAGATAGTTTCCTACATCTTTCCAGAAGATGTAGCAAACCGTAGTGCCAAATATGCTGCGCGATTCCGACGATCACAAAAATCTGCTTCAGTAAAGATACTTTATAACGGGATAATGATTCTACACGTAACACACTTCAGAGATATATGGCTCTATTCATTGGCATATCCCTAACACGTACATAGGCGTATATACGGAGGGGTAATGGGGTAATTACCCTCCAGGATGAAATTTATAAATAAGAAAATCTGGTATAAAATAAAATTGTCACAAAATAAATTAATAATATCAATCAAAATATAAATCCAGAACAATCTACGTTTATTTTTTTCCATAGTCACACAATACTTTTGAGCGAAATTTTAATTTAAATCTATTAGTTTATTTAAGTATTGCCACTACCCCTCCCAGACTCAATCTCTGGATGCGCCACTGAACACGTATAACAAACATTCTTATACTTACATGTAATGAACTTAGGCAATGTAATGTAATAAATTTCTGATTTCGCATTTAGGGTCCTCAAGGTGTTCCAGGCCTGCCCGGACCTCAAGGTTTAAAAGGGGACTCTGGAAGCCGTGGTTTTTCAGGCTTACCAGGTAGAAAATCCATAAAATATCTAGGTACCGTCATATAAGAAGTATTCTTTTAGGTTTACCAGGAGAAAACGGCGAAGCAGGCCCGCCTGGTCCACCCGGAACAGACGGAATACCTGGGCTACAGGGCGAAAAGGGTGAAATGGGATTTAGGGGATTACCAGGAATTGATGGTCTTACAGGACCTCAAGGTCCACCAGGTCCACAGGGTATAGCTGGTCGACCTGGGCAGCAAGTAAGTTATACCTCTATCCTGGTCATTCTAAATTCATGGACTGGATAATAATAATAACGTATATTAACAAAGAATACAAACATGTAGAAATAACACTAATAGTGTATTAAGGTATCTGTTCTAAGCGGCCGGATTTTTCATGCAAAAGTGTATACCGTCCAAATAGACGTTTCGAATAGTAGATACAGGGTGGCTCGATTAGTGCGAGGAAGTTCAATCATAGGATCCAACTATCATCGTTGTCGAAGATATGAAAAAAGTTAAATACAGATGTTGCGTGGCTAAAAAAAGGGCACATCCTAAAAATATATTTTGTTGTATACAGGGTACCCCAAAAAGAGGTATCATAAAGTTTTAATTTTTTTTAAATTGCACCGTCTATTTTTCTATACAGATTCTGGATTCAGCATAAAATTTTGCATATGCTATTTCATCAGAAAAGTGCTTATAAAAACTGGAGTGAATCTAACTTTGTTTTTTTTTCTTTAAATCATTTATTTATGACCTTTAATCAGTACAAGTAAATTGTAAACAAGTACCAAGGTCTTAAAATAATACATTTCAACAGTAATAACAAAATTATTAAAATCATTCAACTTAATACTTATATCCAAAATCCAAGGATAGCAGAATACACCAGCGAAAAAAAATTTACATCATCTTTTACAGTGTAATTTTTTATACATATACAACTGGTAGTGCATACCGTAATCCGTAATGCAACACACTGTGTATGTTATTTTTCTTTTAGATGCAAAATTAAAAAATTAACATTTTTTGTATTTAAAGTGTTCCTAAATTTTTTACGGTTTTGCAGATATTCATCGTATTATATATATATTACATATGGCTCTTTCAACAGTAAATTTTTATCAAAGCTACATAGAATCATCTTTGTCTGGTATTTTACCTTTAAAAACTCCATATGTAATAAAATATAGCAAATATCTGCAAACCGCTAAAAATTTACGAAGACTTTAAATATACAAAAAAATTTCATTTTTTAATTATGCATCTAAACGAAAAATAATATACAAGGTGTTGCATTTAAAAAAATAGAGATATAGCATTTTTTTAAAGAATTGCTATTTTGACGACACAATAAAAAATACCCTGTATAGGATAAGGTAAATTTTTCTTCGCTGATTTATTCTGTTACTCTTGATGTTTAGGAAAATATAGCTAAGTGTCAATAAAATTATATTCACTCCAGTTTTTAACCAATTTTCGGGTATAGTATTTTTAACCAAAGTTTTACTAAATAAGAAATAGAATGACAACATCGCATAATGCTTCAAATAAAAATAGTATACTATAATATGCAGGATTTTATGCTGAATCCAATTATGTACAGATAAAAGGATGTGCAATTTAAAAAAACTTAAAACTGTATCATACCATTTTGGGACAGCCTGTATACAACAAAATATTTTTAGGGTATTATATATTTGGGTATAGGCACCATTATAAACCATGCAACATCTGTATAAAACTTTTTTCCAGATATTTGTCAATTGGCCACTCTGTATTACAACTACAGTTGGACCATTAATATATCAACAGACCATACATTTAGAATAACCAGATGACTGGTGTTTATTTATATTTTAACTACAAATTGTATTTCTCAAAGGGGCTGATTGGAATTAAAGGCGATGCAGGCGCACGTGGTGCTGCAGGGTTAATTGGCGAACAAGGATATCCAGGTCCCCCAGGAATTCCTGGGCTGCCTGGATACAAGGGTGAGAGGGGAGACGATGGCAAGGATGGTTTTCCTGGCACACCAGGTATATCAGGACCCAAAGTAAGTAACACAAATATTTACACATCTATACACTTAATTTTCTGAGGCTAAAGCTTGATTTTCATGCATCCGTTGTCCGACGATACGATGATACGATATTAATTTTATTGGTTGAATTTAAAGACTTCGATTGGTTAACCGTTTCTAACCAATCGAAGTCTTTAAATTCAACCAATAAAATTAATATCGTATGATCGTATCATCGGATAACGGATGCATGAAAATCAAGCTTAAGTCGAAGGCTAAGTTTATGTTTTGAGTTTCCTTGTATAAGGCTTTTCGTCGTGTTTAAACAAAAGGCGAGAGTAATCTCAAAAGATTCATGACCTTATAGGTATTTTTTTACTTAATTTACGCGATGTTCATTCAATTATTACATACTTAAATTCTCTGTAAAATTTTATGAATTTTGATATTAAACACTCTAGCCCACGGCCACACAGAAAGCGTTTTTTTGCGTTTTTAGCGTGAAGCGTCTTTAGCGACTAAAACAAAATAACGGGATTATATAGGAGTGGCCACACCAAAAGCGTGTAGCGTTCGGCGTGTCTCGCAAAAAACGCAAATGAAAACAAATCAGTTTGTTTTCTGTAGCGTCTTTAGCGTTTTTTATGAGACCCCGTCATAGGCGCACGTTATATTTAATAATACAATAAAAATAAATTAAATAGTATGCATTTTTTTTTTCATTTTAGGGTATTATCTAAAAATATTGTTATAAAGAACATCTACTGTTTAGGAAGATTCTATTAAATTCAAAAATTTGAAGGAACTGTTTGAAAAAGTGTAGTTTGAAATGTTGAAAAAGTAATAAATTAAAGGAATATTTTCTTACGCGTAAAAAATA